GATTATTTTCCTATCTGAACTTGTCTAAAGCTTGCTTTTACTCTCGCATAAAAGCGTGCTCATGCAAATTGTATCCAAAGTAGTTTTGTTTTAGCATAGGAGTATAATTATATTAATTTCATAAAGTGCGGGCAAAAATATTGCAGAGTATCTTCTCGTCGACTGCACGCAACTGAAGCTCGGCGCTGTGTTGTTTTTCCCAACATGCTTAAAAGAAAAGTTGCATATGTTGGGTAGAGAGACAAGCGATGGGAAACATTTTGGAGGCAGGAAATTGATTATTATTTATGAGATTGCAGTACAACAGGAGCGACAACAACAATAACAACAACAACAGCAACAATAGCAAGAACAACAGCAGCAGCGACAGTGATTCTTAACATACGAGTGTACGTCCGTTTCAGACGTGAGAAGATTCTGTGCATCGAACAATACTGCAGTTTCCCTTACCTCGTAAGTATCGGCGCAAGATAAAGTAACATGTTACTTGCCCCTCTCCCCCATGAATGCCAACAAAAGATACAAAGCAGCAGCTCTTAAGTGGGCGCGTTCTCTTCATAATTAGAGACATGCATGCACTCTGAAGTGGTTTTCATGTTTCGAAACGAAAATTATGCAGACGAACCCACCGTGCTCCGTATGGGCACTTTTTGGCTCTTCATCCGCTTCGACATACTTCAGAAATGAAACACGAAAAAAATGTATAAATATCCTTATGAAATTTGATATTTTGTATTGTATTAGGCTGGAAAAAGAAAGCAGCACAAAACCTGAGACGTGGGTGTGTATCCTTCGTCCTTGCCTTTGTCTTTACCTGCCAAAGTCAGTTCGTATTAGTGTCCGTGCTCTTGTGATTTGGAAGTGCCAGCCGCCTGCACTCGACTGCTCTTTTATGCAGACAGTCCTTGTCTGCCTGTCTGTCAGTCACCTATGCATATCCTTCTGCCGCGATCCTGCTGGCCACTTAGCCAGTCTCGAGCACTTCGCTGGAAAAGCGACCGACCACTTAACGGCTCTTTGTCTAATGTGATTTTTAGTTGAGTAGGAAATATGCGTCAGTCGCCGTTCGGGACTCGTCTACAATTTCAACATTTTCGTAATACAAATGGCCAGATTCTACAAATTCCTTTGACTATTGTTTCTTTCTTTAGCACGACCATATCATGCCTGAAATATCAAATTTAAAGAAAGTACACGCTAATGTGCTTGAGCTTATCAGCAAGCCTGATAAGTTACCGTATCTACTTGTATGAGTACCTTCTTTAATATCATTTACGTACTGCTTTCTGACTCACTTTATTATTTTTTAAACGAAATCTGCAATGCTACAAGTGTGTATGTTATATTCGAGCTATAGATATGGTTGTTCATTCCGTATTCACTCGTATATTGTTAATTTATGAAAAATCCACATTTTAATTTAATAATAAATAATTTAATTTAATGCAATAGCTTTAATACCATAAGAAGCAGATCATTCTTTGTGCAGCTTTATGCTATAGCAATCCGATCTGGCTCTTTTGTGCTATATTTCAGCGCAATAATATAGGTATATGATTGTTTTAGTTCGTGATCTTAAACTATGTATCTCACGCATCTCCCTTGTGGCGTCTAGAAATATCAGTCTAGAATGCTGTTTGCAAGGGTATCATAATAATCTTATCAGCAATTCTGCAGTTATGTTTCAAAAGTGTGCTAAGATAGAATTCAATTGTCAGTTATTGTGCTTTCAAGGGTATGAGCATAAATATAGATATACAATAATACATCGAATTCTGTCGTAATTGCAATTGCACATAATTTTATCAATCTCAATGGGCACAAAATGATAAACTTTTTTTATTATCTATGTTTGTGAAGTTCTTATCTGTTAGTTTTACGATTTAGTTTTAACATTTAAATAGTAAGACACATAAACATTTTAGATACGATGAGAATCTTCAATCTCAATGAAAAGATAAATTTCAATTTCGGAAGCATGTTAATCTTGCAATTTTGAAAAGGTTCAAATTTCCTAGCCTTCGGTGTGATTGCAAAATAGTTATAACAACTAATGAGACTAGTGCGTAATTGTCCGATTCCGCGTGAGTTTATCCGATTTGAAATATAATTACAAAAATATATTTCTAGAAATATTTATTGTTTAAAATTGAATTCTAAGTCTGAAGCGATACCCTTTTAATGAGCAACTGCAATCCAATATTGTTTTTTGATTTTTTAAAAATAAAAAAAGAACGCTCACTTCCTCAGGATGCCTAACTAAATACTCTGTCGTAAAAAACCAACTTTAATGCAAACACAAAAATTGATAATTTATAAGCTGGTTTCCTCGTTTCCCTCTCTGGCCCCCTCCCTCCCTCCCTCTCTCACTCTCTCTCTCTCTCTCTTCAGGTTTATATGCAATGCAGAAAACACCTGCAAGTTGCAGGTAAGCAGCGAAAACAACAACAACAGAAGGCGCTGCGCAGTGTTGCGCATGCGCACAAGTACTTCTACTTTTTTGCATGAAATAAAATCTCACGGTTCAGATGCGTACGAGTTGGCAAAGACAAAGAGAGTATACAAGCGGGTCTACTCGGTATTGTACAAAGGGGCAGGTGGTAGGAAGTCTTGGCAAAAACAGCAACAGCAACAACAGCAGCAACAACAAAAACATGGCAAAAACGAAGTAAAGTCGGTCGTTGGCGCAGACACACAAGCATGTGGGCTTGTATTTGCAAAAAATAAGAAATAAAATAAAAATGAAAATAAAAAAGACAGTACCAGAGGAAGGCAAATAAAATAATAGCAAGTAAAGAGAAAAACTGGTTTTTGCATGTCAACTAGCTAGTCAGTAAGCCAGAGGAGTCGCAATCGCTGCCCTTCGGAAGGCAAAGCAATGCGCCGGGCCCGACCCAAAAGCACATGCAAATGGCATAGAAAATTTGAATAGCTGTTGCCATTTATGCCAAGAGCAATATCTTCTCTTTCGCCAACGCCGCCAACACCGACGCCGCTGTCCTTTTTAACGAGCCTGAATGAATAACGACGGGCGAGCGAATGGCTGTGATTCTGCGCAATCTGTACCTCGGACTTCATTCATATTTACAACGCAGCATGACGATCGCACACCTTAATGGGCAACGCTACCTGGGCATCAGTACTGCGACTGGGACTGGGACAGGGACTGTGCTGCCGACAGGTAAGGGCAACAGCAAACAACAGGTAGAAGAAAACGGTGTGTTGTTGTGCTCCTTGTTTGTGATCCATGGGAATACATGCTGCTGCTGCTGTTGTTGTTGTTGTACTTTCTGTCGGAAACCTGCTCACAAAAGGGCCAAGCAGTACGATCTGAGAAGCAAAAGCAAACCCGAAAAACTCAAACACCAGAGTGCTGGAACAGATGTACTTCCTCCCCCGATTCAATGAATTGAATCTCTTTTATCAAATCTGAAGAACTGAACTGAAATATTTCGTGTGTAATCGTAGTTAGTTTATCTTCGGCTCTTGTCTCCCTCCTCTGTCTATCTGTCTCTCTGTCTGTGTGTCCATCTGTCTGGCATTTGTCTTGTCTGCTTGTGGTCTTTTGTCTATACGTGAGTTCAACTCATGTGTAGAATCATCAAGTGATACGCAGAATTGGCACAGCTTTTGTTGATATTGATAAATTATAGAGCATCTGCGCTTACCTTTCATGTCGCCATCATCCACATAGCCAGCATTGAGCGAGGCATTGCTGAACTGGAAGCTGATGAGGAACAACAGCAAGACTGCCAATATCCAAAGCGCTGACATATTGTGGCTTATAAATCCAGAATGCCGCGTTTTCGTGCTCGTTCTATAAATTTTCCTGTATTTTGACGACGACTTCGTATCCAACAGACGTTGCGTTTTGTTTATTATTGTAAATTGCATAAATATGGGCCTCGGCAGTTCAATTTCAAACCGATTGTTTATTTATTTTTAATGCCAAGTTTTTGCGATATCTCCACACACACGCAGACTTACACAGACCTTAATAAATTGGGATTTGGGGCCTGAGAAGGCGGACGCTGAATAGCCTTATTCAAGCGTAACGGCAATGGGAACGCTATAGGTACCTCTCTCTAGAACTTAAGGCCCCAGAGCGGGGCATGCGTCGAGTAAAGCACAGCAGCAAAGCCCAGCTTGGCAATGTTCTGTTGTTTATCTTGCTGCATAGTGCTGGTGAAGGGGGTTTTTAACACAAAAAACTATTTATGAGCAAATGCAGATATTAAATATCTATGCAAATTTTCAATTTCACCAGAAATCTGCTGGCGGTTTTATATTATATTTGCGAAATAAATCAGAAAGTAACAGAATAAACAGCCAGAGCTCGCAATTCACGGAATAATAAAAATAATAACAAAAAGCTGCGATCGCGAATCACCACCGATTACGGTTACGGTTACGGTCAGGGTGCGGGCGGGCGAGTTCGACTACAAAACTCGTGGTTCATGGGCCCCGGCGGGTACGAGTGGCGATCGTATTGGCCACAAACAAAAGGCCAAAAGCTGTTTGCTATATTGTAGTTGTTGTTGTAATTGTAGTTAACAATCTAACTGGCGCACGCAAAACTAAAACTGAACATTTCAAACACGAAATCCGTACGTATTGTTCTTTATATAAATTTTTTCCTTTACTGCAGTTGTAGTTTTGCCAATTCAGCACTTTAATTTAATGCTTTGCATTTCTTTACACAACTTTGCTTCATGTATTGGATTCACTTGAAGGAATTACACCGACGACGCGCCAGACCTTCGACCGCACGTAACAAGATTCTGTTAACGAATAACACCAACTACTAAGAGATGGCAGAGCGAGAGAGCTGCGGCTCTCAACGGTTTTGAACATCGATAGCGATAGCGCCCATCGATAGTACATCATTTACGGAGCTGCCAGCACGTTGCATTTTCGTTATAATCTCAAAATATCGTAAATAAAAGTCTTTAATATCGATATACAGATGCAATATCAACATGTTGTGTTCAATTGTAGTCCTGACCGGCGAAGAATAATAAATGTTTGGCGCGGAAAAGTTGAAAGGTTACTGCATCGCTTCATATTGTTGTTTTATTGTTTCATCATATAAGTGTTATCTTAGTTGTAACGTTTTAATTGTTATGATAATGATAAATATTGGACGCCGGCGCTCTTACATCTACAATCATAAACAAGGTACAACAACAATGACATTTCGATACATAGATATGACGTCGCGGCCATGTGTTCCCATTATGCAAGGTTACCAGATGCCATTGATAGAACTGCGCGAGCGCGAATTGGTACTTTAAATCCGGAGATATTCACATTCCTATTCAAATCAAACAATTGGATTTTAACTAAAAATTTCACATTCAAGTTGAAGAGCAGACAAAGCTGCCAAATAATTATTGGCAAACCAACAGAAGAGGCAAAAACAGAAACGTGCTTTTGCAACGACAATAAACAAAAGAATAAAAGATCTACCGACGAGTAGCTTAAAAAATCAAAATATTTAACAAACCCGTTAGAACATATAGCTTTCCAAAGACTCGCTAATATAACAAATCTTCTCATTTCCAGAAAACCGTTTGTAAAATACCCATGAGTAGGCAATCTTCTTAAAATAAAACATTACTTTGCTGCGTGCTGAAAGATCCATCAGTGAGTTGGCTAAGGCAGACATCAGCACTTTGTTACGCCTTTTTAACTATTCAATAAGTGGCGCGGCGACATCGACCATAATATCTCACCTGCCTGGTAATTCAAATGAGAACAAATCTTTTAATTGTGCAACAAATTCAACAATATTCGATAGGTCAGTCCGCTGAACTCTGAAGCATTTACTGAACTGAGCTTGAACTGATAACAACATGTTCTCTGTGAAAATATTTCAGATTTTGTAATCACTCGGTTAGTGGATTTCCTGCTCTAGATGTAGAATTAACGCGATGGCAGAGCTCCCAAACGAGCAAAAAGCGAACCCGCTTATTGCATTTATAGCGGGCGGCTTTGGCGGCGCTTGTGCTGTTCTCTCATGCTATCCTATGGACACTATAAAGGTATATATGTATATTACAAATTCATTAACAAACGTTTATCTCAATTCACATTTTTATTTTTCAATATTTAAGGTACGCCTGCAAACTAATAGATGCTCTGTAAATAGCCAGAGAACCATATATAGAGGATTTTTCGACTGCGCAACAAAAATTATAAGAAACGAGGGAGCGCGTGGGTTCTATAAGGGCATGTCAGTACCCTTGTTGGCCACAGTACCTATATTTGCCCTAGACTTTGCGACCTATGCAATAGGCAAGCGTTTCTTCCAGACTGATAATCATACTAAACTGACCTACCCGCAAATATTTTTGGCTGGCTCCTTCACGGTACTGTTTACTACAGTTATCGTAGCGCCGGCGGAGCGCGTAAAGGTACTCCTACAAACCCAAGAGGGCTCTAAATACAATGGAATACTAGACTGCGTGAAGAAGCTCTATAAGGAAGGCAGCTTACGCAGCATTTTTAGAGGAACTTGTGGCGTAATGCTCAGAGGTCAGGCTAATAAGTTATTTTATTTATTAATTACATTAAATGCAAATGATGGAGCATTGCGAATGGAGTTAAATATATTCCCTTATATATACATCCACAGATTCACCCACTGGGTTTTATTTTCTTGTATATGAATATTTACAAGACTTGGCTAGAGAACGCTCGGCAACCGGTCAAAAGAGCTGCGCCTCCACAATTTTAGCAGGCGGTACCGCTGGTATTGTGTTCTGGTCGCTGGCCATGCCCTTTGACGTGCTGAAAGATCGTCTTCAATCTGGTAATGCTATCCAAATTTCGTGTTCTTCAATCATTTTTAAAAACCGAATCTGTTCTTACAGCTCCAACAGGAACATACAAGAATGGCGTTCGCAGCGTATATAAAGACATAATGGCTAAGGAGGGTCCTCGAGCTTTTTATAGTGGTGCTGCACCCATCCTTTTACGAGCATTTCCAGCAAATGCTGCAATTTTCTTTGGCATGGAGGTAGCGACTACTTTCCTAACACTTGTAGTGAGAAAAGTGTCCGAAATAGAGAAACTTGCGGCTTAACTACCTCTTGATGACCAACCTGGTACTTTCTAGAATAAATTTGTAAAGGTCCATTAGCTTTTTTGATCAATCAACACCCCATAAAATTGATTTCTGAAAGTAGATTAAGCCATAGGAACCAACTACCGATTGGGTAGTTAAGTAAAATATAAACTACTGTGTCTTGACATACCATTATCGTCATTGAAATGAGCCAAGAGTTTTCATGTCAACGTCACGTAATGCATCAGTATTTAAGCAAAATGTGAAGGGATTGAGCGAAGTTGGCTTTATTCGAAAATACTCCTCTATACCATTATAGTAAACAAATACAATGTGCGTGTACATGTGTCGTCTTTGCAATGGAACGAAAGACTCTTCAAAACCCATAAAGCTTACATAAATCGTTTATTCGTTGTGACATTTTTCAGAAAACATGGTTAAGGAAGGTAGACATTCTGATAAATGTCAATGAATGTCCTATCCAAATCGACCACCAACTTTTCAAAAATGATTCAAATAATTTGACAAAATTCAATTAGATAGGCCAGTCCAACGAACTCTGCAGCTTTAGGCACACTGATAAATTTCAGAAATTGCAGAAATTTCAGATTGTTTGCGTTTTGACGCAGTGGCTTTGTTGGCCCAAGCACCAACATATGCTGTGTATTTTGGCACCTATGCTATAAGCAAGCGTTTGTTCCAGACTGATAATCAAACAAAACTGACCTACCCGCAAATCTTCTTGGCTGGCTCCGTCACCGCACTGTTTGCTACGGTTATCGTAGCACCGGCCGAGCGAGTAAAGGTACTCCTACAGACCCAAGAAGGCTCTAAATACAATGGAATACTAGACTGAATTAAAAAACTCTATAAGAAAGGCAGCTTACGCAGCATTTATAGAGGAACCTGTGGCGCAATACTCAGAGGTGAGGCTAATAAGTTACCTCATCTTTTGATTACATTAAATACAAATGAGGGAGGATTGCGAATGGTTTTAAATATATTCCCATATGTATACATCCACAGATTCACCCACTGGGTTTTATTTTCTTGTATATGAATATTTACAAGACTTGGCTAAAGAACGCTCGAGTGCTGAAAGGTCGTCTTCAATCTGGTAATGCTATCCAAATACTTTGCTTATTAATTTGTTTAAACCGAATCTTTCCTTACAGCTCCAACTGCCTTATACAGTAACGACTACTTTCCTAACACTTGTAGTCAGAAAAGTGCCCGAAAGAGAGAAACTTTTATAGCAAATATATAATCAAGTGTATATTTAAAATTATACTTTTTGTTAAAATTATAATTTTTGTTTCTACCTGAGGAAATCCAATCAGTGCATGAAAATCGTATTAATACCAATATGTGCAAAATAATGAATCATCGTTTTACCTCCAAGTTTGAGGGGAAGCTATAAGCATATTCCTTCCACTGTGTAGAGGAGTCTGTTCCTAGAAAAAGAAATATAGTAAATTGCATGGTTTTTTGTTATTCGAATACAGTTGAATTTGAACGATTTTTGTCAGGGATCAGGGATTTTCTCTTCCAGTTTCAGTTAAACACAATTACCAATTACTTACATCTTTTTCTGGGCTGAAAACTTAGCTATAGGTTTCACATAACTCTTATTATTCCATTTTAAAAATGGAGAGTCGCACTTTAAATAGTAAACGAAATAGAGAAACTTGCGGCCATACATCTGGACTTGATTCAAATTTATAAATTCCACCCTGGTTTTCTATGAATCATTTTGAACAGTGCTGCCAAGTTAAAGAGTGCTGCCAATTCCACGAAAGTGATGCCCATAAGCACCGGCTGAGTTTGTTTAGACTCTGTGCTTTAGACTACAAACAGAAGTGAAATATGAATAAATATAAAAGCGACGGTTGGTATGCAGATGAAACGATCGCACTGATTGCCATAATAAAGGAACTTAACGTACAACGCAAATCGAGAGTCAGTGAACTAGAGTGGCAGGAAATTGCACGAAGATTGGAGGAAAAAGGACACCAGAGGAGGCCTGGAGAGATAATTGAGCGATACAGTCGTCTGAAAAGCAGTTACTTTAGCGCCAAATCAAGAAACAAGACATGTGAATATTACAATTATCTGAACGATTTGTTACTACATCAGCTGCCGCCAGTACAAGAAGGACTTACCGACCTCGACGAGCCTGAAGCTGAACTTGAAGCTGATCCAATGGAAATTCAGGACGAGGAAATGGAAGAGAAATATGCGGACACGCTTCATATTGACAGTCAGTGGCCGGGTGAAACTGCTAAAACTCTCATTGTATAGTATGCACTTAACTTTGCAGGCAACAACACAAGCTACAACTCAGAGGGCACGTCATCGCGGTGCAAGTGGACCGACGTGGAAATTGAAGCATTCCTAGGTATTATTACTATGCTAAGACTGGAAAAACAATTGTTGAGCAGACCGAATACAAAAGTTTACCAGCTTATAGCCAAGGAAATGACACGAAAGTCCTTCGCAAAGCGGCCTGATCAGCTGCGATTTAAATTCCATCAGCTAACAAAGGAATTTTTCAAGTCCAACAACACAGATAAAACGTTCAAATACTTTTATACCATGCATGACATATTGGAATCTCGCAATGTCAGCAACGGCGGTGGCACCAGTGGCGAGGAAAACGATTCTGCCAACAGTGAGGATGAAGAAGTAGCACGGGCTAGTGAAGGTATGGGATGGGCCTTAAAGCTCATTATGTTCCTTATACAGAATTTATAATTCGCAGGGTCCAATGAATCGGAGCAGGCACTCTGGATACGTTGCAAGTGGACGGATGAGGAAACCGAAGCTTTTATCAACATTATTATTAACAAGAACTATCAGGCGCGATTGATGCGCAGCAGGAAAGCCAAGGTGTTCAAATTGTTATCTAAAGAAATGGCTAAACTACAGTACGATAAAAGTCCGGACAAGCTTCACATTAAATACAATCAGCTCAAGCGTATGTACAATAAATCCCAACTGAGCGGACAACTGTTTTGCCACTACGAGCTCGTCCATAAAATGCTCAACTCTGCACAAACGCCTGCCAGCAGCTCCAGTGAATCGGAATCGAATGATAGCGACAACGAGGAGGAGACTGGCGATAAGTCACGGCGAAGTTCTGGTATAACATAATAACAAAAATTATATGAATTGTTTCAAAAGCTATGTCAAGCGTTGCATATTTCAACTTTGCAGGCAGAAGCGATGGCTACCACTATTGGACTGATTTGGAAGTTGACGAATTCCTGGCTACCATAAAAGAACACGAACTGTTCCAAGTACTCGATGGCTCCAAAAAGCGAAACTTTCGTACGCTCATTAATATTTCGAAACTGTTGGCAAAGAAGTCGTTAAACAGAACACCCCACCAGCTGAAAAACAAGCTGCGCTTGCTATTAACGCGCTATAAGGAGGCCAAGAAAGAGGGTGTGAATAATGTACGCATATTGCCGCGCCACTTCAAGCTGATGGATGAGTTAATGCAAAGCAAAAGGTCAGTTAAGCCACATAAAAAAACAGTAAGGGAAGTTACAAAGGCCGAAAGCATAAAGGAAAAATCGCCAACGCCCCCTAAAGTAGAGAGCGAAAGTGAAACTTCCAGTTCAACATGTGACTTATTGCAAGCAGGAGCTGCCATTAAGACCTTTGAAGATGATTTCGAAATGCCGCCGGAACCAACGCCTCTTGAAGTCTTAACCTCAATTAGCGAGGGCCAAAAGGAGCTTTTAGCCTATCTCAAGACATCCAATGAGAACTTTCTCAAGCAACAGCTCGAAATGCAAAAACATTTTCTGCAAGAAATGTCGGCGATGATGCGACAGGAACGTGAGGAAAATTTCAGAATGCTGAGACAATTACTGCAAGGCAATAACAACAAACAATAGCTCAATTTAAATTGAATTGAAATATTGACGATCCGTTATTATATGCAAAATACACTTAAAAACAGAACAAAAATACTCATCTCGTTTCAAGCTTCTAAAACTTTTATTGAATTGAATTCGAAGTTATTGCAAAAAGTTGTCGTTAGTTATTTATATTCATGTATGTATATTTGCAATTCACTAATATTTTAGCGTGTGTGTCCGTGTCCGTGTCTGTGTGTTTCAGTTGTAATTTTATTTTTTTTTATTGCAATTCATTATGAATTTAGTTAATGTATACATACAGTATTTAACAAGCGCATTTAAACTGAATTTTGTTATTAGGTTTTGTTTTTCACAATTTTACAGTTTTCCTTTTTATTAACTATTGTATTCATCCATGTATGCATGTATGTATGTATATTTAATTTAGGGAATTTATTTTGATATGCTACAATTGTATTTTGAATAAATTTATTTAGTATTTTAACTTGTTTTTATGCTTAAATTTTCTCTTATTTATTTTTATTCATATGATGTATTAAGCGAAAATGCTTCTTTATAGTTTGTTTAAACGCTACACCTTATGTTTTGTGGATATTTTATTTAATTTCTTCCCTCATTTGTGTTTATTGTTTGTTACAACAACTAAGCAAGCTCATCATAAAATATGTTGCATCCAAAAAATACTTATGCTCGTTTGTTTATTGCGTAATGTCTAAAATTAACATTTAAATTTGTGTGTGTGTGCTGTTTTGTCTTTGTTTTCCTTTAATATACTCGTATTGGATAAAATTGGTTAAACTAAAACTCACAACTAATCGCTGCTGATATATGTATGTATGTTTGTATTTGCATATGTAACGCTCAGGCACAAAGTGTAAATTACAAATATTTCTCTCAATATTATTTACGATGCTGTTGCTTGCGCTAAATCCGAAAACTATATACTTAGATAAATAACGAAAAGAGTGAACTAGCTTTTTTGTATACAATAAATATCATTCATTTCGTTATATGCAGTATTTACGAGGGCTGGCTGATAGGTAAGACAACGCAACTTTTTATATCAAATCTTAATCTGATAAGCATTATCAATCGGCTGATTGCTGTCAAAATATCAGGCACCAGTGTCCATACGCAATTTTTGTTTATTTCTAAAGAGAACAAATTTGAAAAAAATGTACGTTTCATGTTGCCCTTTTCTCAAAACATAAACTGAACTGGAATTCTGTCGATTGAATAAATAGCTGAATAAAAGCCCGGACGCTTGGAAATGTTGGTAATAGACGATCAAAGAGTAAAGGTACGTTTCGTAACTGTCGACGGAACTTGAAAAAAGCATTAGACATGACAGAACTAGAAACGATCGAAACAAACTGAGGAAGACAAAGATAGATAATTCAGCATTGCCTTTAGACGACTGTTTATTTTTTTGGGATTCACATGGATTTATAATAATAATAAAATAATATTCAGTTATTGCATCGATTTAATGTGCTTTCCGAGGGCATATAATATCATTCTTTTCATCAGGGCACAAAAGCGTAGTCATCATGATAAATTAATTATAATTTTAATGCGAAGAAGATCCACTTCTAACTTATTCTCCCGATTACACCACAGTCTTAAAGAAATAGTTGGTGGAGAGGGGCGATCTGTGAAACGAAGTCCTATTTTGAAGATTTTGACGGCACCTAAATTTGCATTTTCTTACCTATTTGTTATCAACCAGCCCGGATATTTGAACATACATACATACATATGTAGTATGTATATACTGTATATGTATAAGTAGCGGTGTATTTGTCTCTTAGAGCACGGCTCGGCATACATATGTCTACAACTAGTTGGCGATGGCTGCGCTGCTTCTGCTTATCCTTCTGCTGCTCCTGCACCTGAAGCTTGGCTTGGTATGGCAATTTGTGTGCTCAGCTGGCTGCGTTTCGTGTATTGCATTTTGCATTTTGTTTGCTTATAGTTTAGTTTGTAGTTTCCTTTTGCTGTACTTGTATATATGTATGTAGTTTGTTTCTGTATAGTTTATAACAACAATAACAATATGTTTTGCATGCAATTTGTTCTATCTCCCATCTAAGAGCTAACCGTTTCGGGCAGTGGATTCTCAGTGATGCGTATCTTATTGGTTTGTGTGCCATAATAGAGAGTACCGGCTGTGTCTGTGGTGGTTACATAGGCGCGATTGCCATTACCATTCCCATTGCTCAAATCCATGTCCATCTCTTGAGAGTTGTTATCGTCGTCATTGTTGTTGCCTCCCGTGTTCCCGGTGCTGTTGTTGCTGCTGCTGCCGCTCGTGGTGCAGTTGATGGCCGTCTCTCGCAGGCGATTGCCAACGCGCATGCTCAACTGACGCTGCTGCTGACGTTCCCGTTCTCTCTCCCGCTCTCGCTCTTGCGCCGCCTGCAATTGTTGCTCACGAAAATTGGCAAAGAATATCGATGAGTACGTGTGATATTTGGTGCCGCATGGTGAACTAGCGGGCGTTGAGAGCGGCGTTGCTGCAGTATGTGGTTGTGGTTGTAGTTGTTGGTTAGTTTGGGAGGAAGGTAGTAGTAGTTTGGCTTTTGTTATTTATATTACGGTACTTTGAACATGTGAGTTGTTGTTGTTATTGTTGTTGTAGCTGAGTTGTTTCTAGTTGATTGTTTGTACTTGATGGATGGATGTACTTTTTACACATTCTAGGAATCTGCTGCTGTTTTTTTGGCTAGTGTAGAGGTGTATTGTGTGAGCGTTTGTGTATCAGAGATGATCTGTATTGTGATTCGGGCCTCACTGTGACAAAACCCCAGCGACTGTGAAGGCGCTTGCTATTTTGAATTTTAAGCCAAATTGTTTTTCGCAATGGCATATGTATATTAAATGTAAAGCATGTAGGCTAATTCGAGTATGTACATGGGTTTAAAAATATGATCAGACAGGCAAATAATTTGCTCAATTAAATCAATAGGAGTTCCATAGTAAAACATATGGCTAGCTTCTCACACAAAAACAATTCCTAAATCATAATAGCTTGCATGTCTGACCATAGATTAAGCAAAAGTAAGTATTGTAACTAACTTTGGACATAGTCGCGCACATAGCACCGACAACCACAAGCAAAAATGTTTTTGAAGAACTATGTCGTGAAGATTTGGAAACTGAGAAGGAATTGCAAAATTGTGGGCTTGCAATAATTATGGTTGCCGGTGTAAGAACAAGTTATCGGTGCCAGGTCAGTCCAACTATGATTTTGAGCCCGTACTCTTTTATTTACATTTTGTCACAGTGGTAATTGATGATATTTAAGTACTAATACATATGTCTATGAGTGTGTTTGCGTGGGACGTGCATATAGGACTAGTATGTATCTATGTATGTAGTATGTATGTATGTTGCCGCTACCTTCATGAGTTGCTGTGAGATCCAATGATGATGAGCGAGCGATCGAGCGAGCGATGGACTGAGGATGAGAACTGCATGCGATCTGCTATTGCTATTGATTGATGGTAATGGTTGATAGGGCCAAGTTGCCGAGCAGCCGCGGCATCAACCTGTTATTGCTGCTCTTGCTGTTTGCGAAGAAAACTCCGAAAATCAGGGGTGGAGGGGTTGGTAGTGAATTGGAAGTGCAAAGCAAATTCTGATCATTTAAATTATTTACTTTGTTCTTTTATTCAGAATTCAGAATTCACAACAAAAGCTTACAATTTTCGTTTTTGTCATTTTGAATTTTCGCTGTGTTTTTCGTTTTTATATATTATTTTGACATTTAATCAGCTTGCTCTTAATTAGCTCAATATATGTATGTTTGCATCTGTAGATAGAATTGTCACGTATGTATGTATATTTGTATATATGTAAATATAAAGTAATATAAATTTATTGCTTCAATACATTTAGGCGTTTGTGTGTTTGCAGGTGTCTGTTTCTATGCATGTGTGTGTGTGTGAGTCTGTGTCGAACAGCCGTGAATCAGAGCGCGCGGGTGCAACCGACATTATTGGCGTACAGTGAAACAATATAGTTACTAGATCTTTTTCTGTCTATTAATAAAATAAAAACATTTTTAGCTAAGTTCATCTCCATTACGTACGAAATAGAATAATTACAGAAAACAAGAGAAAAGGCATAAACGCAAAACAAAAACCTTACTTAATTTTGTTATAAGAAAAAAAAAATACATTGTTTAAACAATACAATGATCCAAACATGCTTTCGCATGCTTGAAAACGTTGAGCAGCTCCCAATAATTAAACAAATCGAGCACCTCTGGAAATTTCATTAAAAGAGAGTTCAAATACCGAAAAAGTGACACAAAAGCTGATCAATAAGTAGCTGCTAGCAATTATTGCAGCCAAAGGAGGTCCAATAAAACCGTATACAAATAAATTTTTGTATAGATGTACATACATTAACCTTCCCATATAAATGATTTTGACTGTATGCCAACAATTTTTTTTTTTTGAAAAACAAACCATGGTGTATTTAAACTTTATTGTTTCACTGTACATATTTATGTATAATATGATAAGTAGAGTATAATTTTACGTGACGATTACTAAATAAAACTGCAACAAAAAAAGTAAACAAATAACTAAGCCATGTGAAAACACTGCGAATACTTAATGTGTATATGCATATATTTAATAAGCAAATTTTGTTGGTTTTTTTCAAGCGCATACGCAACTAGCAATAGAATATAATGATTGCACAATAATGCTTTGTTATTGTTCTCAAGCTTGCTGCTATGCACCAGTAGTATAAATATAAATAATAATAATACAACAGTTCACTTAACTCAATTTCAATTTCATGACTTACAACTAATAAATACAATACATTTATATAATAAAAAAATAGATGTAAAAAAACATAATAAAGAGGGGCCAAAACGCACTGTGTTTGGTAAAAGAAATCAACACAAACAATAACAATTCTCTATACTTGTACTCTCTTATACAAGCTAAGCTCAAAACACCTGTTGGTAGGTTGGTTGGTTATATATGTATATATGTGTGTGTGGAGTGTGTCTATCTCTGGGTGTGTGTATGTGTGTGTGTGTGTTTGAAACTGTTGCGCTCAGAGTGCTGCTTCGCTTGGGTTGCTCGTTCTGTATTCCAAAAGTTCTCTCACTCATTTGCACGCCCACTCTCTCTCTCTCTCTCATTCTCTGTGTCACTTCCAGTTGGCGCTCTCATTGCACACTGAGCTCAATTTGCGTGGAACTGCTCCGACTGACCGTTGAGATTTTGCGTGCCAACTTTTGTAGGGTACCAACAGCTATAGTTTTATTTCGATTTTGCAAATTGTTTTAATTTTGGCGTGTAAATAAACAAAATAAAAGATCAAATAAATTAAAATATATATGCACATATGAAAAACATAAATGCTTGTGGGATGTGTGGCGCTTGTAGCAAATCTAATAGCGTAATAGTAAGCGTTAGGAAATAGAAAAATGCAGTTTAGACTATAAGTGAGTATTAGTTGAAATATAACCAGAGAAATGAAAAGATAAAACGTTGCTAGACATGAACACTACTACCTCATTTGTCTTATTTCCACTGGAAAATGTAGTTAATATTTGGTTAATCTTTGCTTTTACATAAATTCAAATAACTCGAGTTGTCTAGAAAGAAAGATGTTGCGTCTTCTTCTTCACATACATACAAGTATGTGTGTATATCCCATAGATAACAAAAAAATCAATCCCTGCAGCTGGCAATACTAATTAATCAGATCTCTCTGGTGCGATGAGATGAAAATTTTGATTAATCATAACCACTGGACGTTAATAGCCTAGTTGAAAATAAAATCGCCTACAGCCAGGTCAAATAAATTTTAGAAGACCAAATATATGTTTTGTGGATTCTACGATTTTGAAGAGGAATCAGAATGTGAAGATGACATGCCTGCATGGAAAATAAATAAAATAAACATTTCCCTTTCTGTGGAAATAAGACCTTTTAAAGGAAAACTATAAGCATGTTTCATAGTTGAGAGAAAACTAAGGAGTGCTACACAGTTCTAAGCACTAGATGGCGCCGTAACTAATTGTTGTTATTAAACATGTATGTATATGTCAATTATTGTATTAATTCGCTAAATGCAATTTAACTATGTATGTATGCAGCATATTTGTTTCTGCTATAGCCTCGCCAGCAATAAATACTGATTGATCTACTGATTTTTTTCAGAGACTGTTGGGTTGGTGTGCGTGTGTGTGTGTGCAGGTGTAACAGCAGCGGAGGTAGTTCAAGGTGTATTTGTGTACAAATATACATACCATATATAAAGAGAGAGTTATTATTTGCAGTTGCATTCAAAATCATTGTACCATATTGTTAAAAATACGTAATTTCGAAAATATACCAAAAACAAGAAATTATAATTAGAAATTTATGTTAGATAGCACATTGGAGCCAACCCGAAATTTGTTGGCCGTTTTGTGTGGAAGAGTTTTATGAATTAGAAATGCATGTTGTGGAGTGGGGGATTTCATTTAATTGTTATTTATATTTTTAGTTGTTATTTTTTGAGGCAACCGACCCAGATTTTGTGCACATGGCAGTTGTTGTAATGGTTGTTAAGTTCAGATGGATGGGTGCATGACAAGGCAGGCGAGTAGGGGCGTAGGAGAGCAGGCGGTTTATTTTCGTATTGTAATTGTTGTGTGTGGTTTATTTGGCAATGTTGAGATGGTTTTGTTGTTTAGATTAGTATTATTATTAGGTGGGTATTTGGTATTTTTGTTGTTGTTATGTTTGTTTAGCAAAAAACAAGCAGTTTGGAGAAAGGAAAAGAAATGAAAAACAAAGTAATGAAAATATTGAAATATTTTTGATTGGTTTGTTTTTTTGTTTGATGCGAAAATGCATTTTGCTTGTTGATAATAAATTTGCTAGAGTGTTGATAAAGGTCTCGCCTAAAAGTATGAATACCCTATTGCTGCTCTACATATTCTCTAATTTGGTGGGAAAATGGGGTTGCTGTGGGACCGAAGAAATTATTGATTATTTTCAACAACTTTTTAGTTTCATCCATATCATTTATTTAAACAATTTCGTTAAAATGCGTACAAATATTTTGTTTTCAAACAATTTTCTTTTCTGTTTTTTTTTTTTTTTTTTTTTTTTTGCTGTATAAATTATATTTTAAATTTTGCCAATTGGTAACGCTAAATACAAAATTTTGCACAACTCTTTAAACATTGGTTTGATTTGTTTTTCTAAAGCGGTTGAAAATTGTGTTCAAAACTAGTTTGATTTTCAATAGTAGGTATCGTATGACTATTTAGGCTATATAGTTGGTAAATATGGGGAAAAGGCAACTCTCTGTGTATTTATGTGTGCTATTTGAAGAGCGTATACAAAACTCAACTATGGAGCTACGACTTATGCACAATAAAGAGTAGTTCTCGTATATATATAAATTTGTTAACTTGCGGAACGTGTAAACATGGTTCCTATACATAGTAAGTATATATATGTACTTGTATATATATATATATGGTCAAGCTCGAGTATTGTGGGGAAAATATGAGACGCAGCCCTTCACTGCAAGTATACTGATCCATGAAAAGCGACTTGTTGGTTGACAAATGGGTGTTTTGCAATTTTAAACAATGATAAAGGCTTGCACTTGAATATTTGCATGGCGAATACTGTATGGCCAGACTTATTTGGAACTGAACTGATCTGATTTTGAACTGAACTGAAGATTTTTGCAATCTTATAACCAACTGAGTGCTCGCTCATTCGGGTGTAATCCAATTGAAAGATGTAAGGAAAATTTGACTAGAGTAGTAATAGGCAGTAGGAGTTTAGTTTCTTTTTAGTTTAGTTTAGTTGAGTAGTTGTAGCAGAGAAGTTGAGGTTCAGTTGTTGTTGTTGAGTGTGCTGTGTTCTAACACTTACCGTAGCCCTCGCCCTGCAAGAATAGCCGGAAGGCCTCAGCCAGCTTAGCCGGCTGCTCTTCGAGCACCATAGCGCAATCGGAAATCTGTGTTAAATGAAAAAAAAAGAAGTAGTAAATATTAATTATCTTATTCTGACAAATACCGGGGTGTCACAGAAGCAGAATTGACTACACAACTAATAATCATTTGGGTTATAAAGGGCCAGTGGGTTCACCGGTTAACACGAAAATTAATATTTTTCAGAAATAAAAAATTCCTAATTCGGATTGTCCCGATACTACATTCCAGATATGGCAGCAGTATAATGAAATAGACAATCGTTGTAGCTAGATCTACATGAATTAATCAAATTAAAAATCGTTCAATTCAGAATTTTAGGAAACTTGATAGTTGAAAACATTTTGTTTAGCCTTTCAATAAGTTAATCCGTTAACCACTGGGCCCTAACCCTATGCAATTATTGCAATAAAATTCAGTGACAACCCGATAACTTTAACAACCTTCATCCACGACGAGTTCGTTGGATCCAGACGCCCATTGAAGGTGACCGTGTCATCGACATGTGGCGACAACGAGCCCGTTATATTGATCACCGGCATTTTTAATGTGGTGGCCGCCGTCTCAGTTCCAGGTGTACCGGGAGGTGTACGTGCCAAATGCAAGTCATTGCGATGTATATACGCATTGATCAGCATGGCCAAATTGGTCGGATTTACTCCGCGCTCAAAATGCTGCCTATACATCTGGACCAGGTCGTGGTTGCGCTCCTCGGGATTCCGTCCGAAGTGATGCCACATCAAGTAATCGATGACTCCCTGCGTCATGCCCTTGGTGCGCAAGAAACGCGCATTGAAACTCTGATAGCCCCATTCGATCCAGCCGGACTGTGTGGACACACAGTTGATTAGACACAGAGCGCCCACCTTATCTGGATGGCCGTGGGCGAAGCGTGCCAATATATTCGCGCCAGCGCCCACACCAAAGCCAATAACCGATTTCAGGCCAAAATGCGACAGAACGAAGAGCAGCTGTGCGGCCAACTCATCCATGGTTGGATAGACGTAGCTGTAAAATGAATAACCAGTGAGTTGGCAGGCAAGCAAGCACAACGGATGGCTGACTTACTCCTCTGGCAATGTGGGTGCGCCGTCTTCCTGTCCGGGTGCGGTCACATGGTACACACAGAAATTCTCCAGTAGGCCGCGCATAAGCGGAAAATTGAAGAAGCCAGCAAAACTGGTGGCATCTGGGAAACAAGACAGTGCATTTTTAATTCAATTATTAGCAAATTATTCAATTTAAAAAGCTTCAAATGAATGTTTCGAAGAAGGAAACGATCCTTGAAGATCTTCGAATTTGTGTGTTTACTCACAATTCAGGCCCAAATCGTGGTAGGTGACGATTGCCGGCTTCGAGGTATCACCCTGTATGGCCACATGTATGTCTCCCTTGTCTGTGGGCACGCGACGCTGTTCACAGGCATCCACAATGGATCCGCGTGCATTCGGAAATTGCAGCTGAACAGAGCGCAGTTCGATGTCATCCATGGGATCGACAGGCATGGTGCTGAGGGAAGACATTCAGTGGACAGTTAAAAACTGGATCTGCCATTAGTTGGGCATTACAGTAAAAGAAAAATGTAACAAGGGCAGTTGCTCATAAGCATATGTATATCCGTTTAGAGGGGGGGGAGGAGGATTTTGTGTGAGTGTGCAGCTGCCTTTTAAATACCCTTAGGCCGGGCTTTCTAAATGCTAAAATGCTGCTGGGTGGCACATGAGTTGACAGCTGAGATTGTCGCTCCGCTTTACTACGCTCTATAACTATAGTATAATTATATAAACGAGCACAAAACTAAAGTGGTTTTTAATAAATCAAGTAAATAAAAAAATTGTTAACATTCAACAAAAATAAATTACAATGCAAAGTTACTGAAGTTCAGACGGGGATGCGCGGTTTAATTAGCTTATTAGCATTAGCAGAAACAAAAACAATAGTTAGGAGCTACTTACGTTTACCTAGAACATAAAATATATTTGTATTAGAGGAGAACTTAGGAGCAGACCACTAGACTAAACTTAAAGAAAAGAAAATAATACTCTTGGGCAACTTAGAGGAGTGTTGTGGAAATATACATATATGTACGAGTATATGGGTATACGAGACGAGATTCCGTTTTTTGTTACATGGTGTTCTCTTCTAGTGTGCTTTTTGTTGCATGTTCTCTTTTCTATCTTACATGGGGGACAGCCCTTTTTGATTTCTCTTTATACATTTTTGAAAGCTGTAGCTGTTGGTATTTTTGTTCTTGTTGTTGGTGTTGTAGTTGTTGTTTGGCTTACCCAAGCAGATGTGCCTCCTCGGCAGTGTGTGTTGGTGCTGACGGCATCTTGGTGTTCAGTGTCTTACCAGTTTTGTCCCGGTCTCTGAAATAAATACTATGAGCATGCAAGCAAAAAAACCGAAAACGGAAAAAGAATTTGAGGCAACGATTTGCGATTTTTCCGCTGGCCTTTATCGCCTTCTGTCGGTCGTCTTGGCGACAGGAAAAATCGTAAAACAAAACACTAGATTTTTATTTCATATTTTCTTAGTTGAGTAATACTTAGAATAGAATGTACGAGTACGAGTACGTGTGTATGTGTGTATGGAAGATACTGCTCATTGGATGGATGGATGGTGCTGGTCTATATACAGATGTCTGTCTGTCTGTATGCATGAAAGTGTCGGCAAGTTAATGAATGCACAATCCAATGATCAATGAATATAAGTAGATGAATGCTGTACTCACAGTTGAGTGCACGAATGAATCAAAATGAGCGATGCGCGCAACAACATCAAGGACACACAACACTCACACACACATTCAACATTCACACAAAATATTATATTTGTGACGTTTAACGATTGTTGCCGCCAACCCGGCATGTAAATGTAAAATTCTGTTACATAAAAGTAAATAAATGAGTCACGCAATGTCATTTGGGGTAAATGTCGGCTTCGTTGTCGGCGCCACGCTTCAAATTCTAGCAAAAACAGAAACAAACAAGTGGCGCCACAAATATGAGACCGGTTGGTTAATTTGCTCCTCCACCAACCAGCACCACCAAAAATGTGTCTAGGTGGTTTTTTATTGACTGTATGGGCATGTAGTATTTGGTCAGGTCGAAAATTTATGCCGCTGCATATGAACATAATTTCCGCCGAGATAATGAGTAGCCTTTGGTAGCTGGCCTTCTAGTTGGAGCCCATTATGTGGTCCTTGCCCTCACATAATTCGTAATCACCTTTTATTGGCCGCAATGGCACGTAGTCGGCCCGTAGCCTGCTTATGTAAGTAAGGTTGTGCTAATGAGGCTGCAGAATGCGCTGCTCCCCCCTCCTTTAAGCAGGCTCATTAATTAATTATCTTGATTAACTAACAGTGGCCTTTGATTATGTCTCTAAGACAAAGCTGTGCTACCATTCATTCAGCGTTGTTCCAATTAAAGGAAGAGAAACTTTGAAACCAAAAAGAAACACTTGACCAAAGCCAGAAATGTTTACAGAGCAGCTTAAAATAGTTACGACCATATCAGTATTATATTAGTTATTATTTATTAAAGTTATTTTTTTGTAATTAGTGTAAAGGTATTTTAAGGCCAGCTTCGCTGGATTTACAAAAAGTAATTGGATAACCAAAATTATCAAAATTGTAGTCCAGAAAACTAATACTTCGTATTAACTGGAATAAGGAAATTTTGAAAAATTTTAAATAAAAAACTTAATTTTCAAAATACGAGTATGTTTGTTAATTTTTACTAAGAACAAACAAACTTTGTAGCCTTTTTTTCCAAAAGTATCCCTTATTACTATTTTTTTTTGCTTTTTATGAAGTCGTATATTAGGCATTGGGTCTAGGGGGAGTTATAAGTCGTAATAAGATAGTATGATTGCAGTTTAAAAGATGTCTTTTAGGTCTCTAATGCCTCAACTTTAATTTGAAGACTGGAATACATAAAATACTATAGTAAGAAATAGGGCTTTTAAAGACTGCTTGAGAAATCGATGAAACGGTGAAGAATCAGGTTTCAATACAAAACAAATATTATGATAGAATTCTATAAAACAGTCTGGTTTTCAATGCAAGCGAGTAAAGAAGACTTGGCAATTAAAGCTAAGAAGAACTAAAATATTCAACAAACAGATGTTTTGACAAATGATTCCGAGCTGGTTTGCTTAAGATTGTCAATAACAATCAAGAAATTGCATATAAGTAGTGTACTTGTACATCGAAAAAGACTACTCCCATGACAATACGTATCTGTATTTAATATGCCTAATGTGTTCGTTAGTATAGTACATCAAAGTTCCATGTACAAGATAAACTATAAGTATATAGTACATAGACATTTGTTTATATACATATGTATGTATGTATAGCTGGCAAATTACAGTTAGTTATTCCATGAATACTATGAAAACGCCTAAGCTCCCACGATAAATTCTACATGCGTGCCTTTTATTTTGTTAAGTATATACAGCACACACACGATAATCAGCAGTTTATTTATATTCTCTTATTTGTATATTCATACGATTTCTTTACTTGACGCCAGGCTTGTAAGTGCCGGCAACTAACCGCTTCTAACCGGTATGCGGCCCCCAGAACCTGAGTCGCCGCTTTTAGCATTAAACAGACCGATCGACCGTCTCTCCAACAGTTCAGACAGACAAACAAACAAGAAAGTGCAATGACTGTTACCGACCTATATATGTGTGTATGTACATACATATTTATACTTGTACATATATATTTTTGTAAATTGTAAGGGAAAACTACAGGGCTCAGAAATAAATTTGAATGATTGGCGTGATTCATTTGATTCATTAATTCATTCGTACTTATTGCTTTGAAGTCTGAATCATCTGAATTCGAGTTGAAAAGCCTATGCTTTTGCCAGTTGAGATAGGCAAATAATTTGCACACAAACATTAGCAATAGTTGTTATTGGAAGTCCTCTTTGTCTATAATAAGAGCATAAATTAACTGACCGGACTTGTTCGTACTATGGTATTAAAATTTATATATTTTTTAATCGGTTTTTTTTTTATCGAATTAAACAACAATTCCATCTCTTTGAAAGAATAAACTATGGAAGAAATAATTTTCTTGAAGAATTGTATTATTTTTCAACAAATTCGTAAAGAGAAAATCACAAAAGTTTTTTGTAGCTGAAAATTATAATCGGCTTTATTATTCATATTATTTCTGAATGCAGTCTGGCATATATTTATATCATACTTGTAAAGTTAGGTACACTTGTATACCCCGATTGTTGAATGAAATCAAATTCTTACAAACTTCATTCAAATGCCTAACAAATAACACTGCAACATTAGTATGAAGCATCACTAAACTGTTCCTCAAATCATATTACAAATAAAATCAATTATAGAAAAATCATTGTTGTTTGTTTTTACAGAAAAACGAAACGAATTTATGTGCAAATTATTTAATTGCCTGTCGATTAGCATTAGAATAGAGTGTTTGAAATCCAACTGGACAGAAATTGTCGGCTATTTGAAATATTTCAAATAACAATTTTCAAGAACGGTTCTTATATATATTCCTATATGTTTGTAAAGATGATGATGATTCATTACAATTTGTGTTTTCTAGATAATTTATTATTAATCATATTTGTATATTTTCGTTAAAATGTTGTGAAACAGAGTGGAATTTCTGGGAATTTGCACACAGCTACAAGTATTTTTTGTGAATAATTCTTACTACTTATTACAGATGTTTAATCAAAATTTTATGAAATATAGAAGCTAAGTATTATGGAAAATACTTGTATATGGGAAAATTTGGAAAATATTCGGGAAATGGGCGTTGTCCGTAATGCAAAAATTTACTGTATTTCAACTTACTATAGTTTCTTGAACTAATCACTTGACCGCTTGTATATTATTTTTGGGTTTATCTTGCTTGCGACTGTTGGGGCTGCGACTGAATAAATAATACGCGTTTTTGTAGAACTAAATCGCTCAGACTAGAGACTATTACTAAGTGGAGCACTCACGTCGTTTGTCCGCATAACGGAAATATTAATTAAAGCACTTGATGAGCAGTAATCATCATAAATAATGGCAAGAGAACAACGACGACGTTTAACTGCAGTTCGTAATAAACGTACAAGTAGTTGTTCAAAAATAGCTCAAAAGTAGGTCGCTGTCGTGAAGTTTGCAGTCGATGACTGAATTGAAGCCAACAGGCTATCTGGGGCCAACAAATTTGACGGCTGGCAATATTTATTCTGGGCTTGTTGTATTGACAAAACGGCGGCGGCGGCGGCAGCGACAGCGGCAGCGGCAGCAACAAACAAACAGAACGAACGACCTTGGGCAGACGACCAGCCAAAGCCATGGTCTAAACGTAGTGCCGCAAGTGGCTTGCACTTCCTCATTCATTCTTACTTCGTGCATGCCACAAATGTTTGCGGTGATGTAACTCAAGACATTGCATGATATGTATGTACGAGTATGTCGAAAAGGAAAACATTACAGAGATTGAAATGAATGTGAAATGTGTTTAAAAAAGCGCAATAAAAATTCACAGATTGATTTGCACACACACACAAACATACACACGCGCGCACAAACACACACACACATAGAGGCATGCAAAAGCAATTAAAGTGGTGCTAAGGAAGCCGAGTTTTGTAAACAATTTCACGTGCCAGGCAAAAACAAATCATAACAGGTAACAATAACAATAACAATAATAATAACAATAACAATAGCAATCAAATTATAGATATACGGGCACAACAACAGCAAAATGCAATTAAGAAAGCAAATTCGAAATTCGAGATTCGTAACCATACTATTGTTGTTACTTAATATTGATGTTGCTCGTGGCAGATTGCTGTCGCTGCATGTTAAATGTTGCATGTGGCATGTTCAATGTTGCACTTACCTGCCATTAACAAGGACTGCCTGGCGCTCCAGGCGCAATAACTCCTCGCTATCGCCAGGCGTCGATTTCATTGCCTGACCTATGACCCGTTTCACACTCTCAAACACCGAGGGCGGTGCTGTGGGCTCTGTGGTCGATTGATAAATGGCGCTACCACTGCCATTGCCATTGCTATTGGCATTATTCGGCAGCGATATATAGCCACCCTCCGCTTGTGGCATGTTTAGTTTAATCTCTTGCAGTTGGGGTCTGGAGGTGTGTCTATATTTCTGAGTGTGTGATTGTGTCTCTTTGTTTTATTTTGTTGAACTGTCGTCGGTCCCCAAAATACTTAGCCTGCTCGGGTCTCGTCTCTCCCTTCAGTGCTGGGGTGCCCAATATATATACGTGTATATATATGTATGTATATATAGCGTGATGATATAAAGTGCGCTTTGAATTTCTGTGCTGTCTGGCCGGTTTTTGTGTTTCATGCAATTTGCAATCCATGTTTGTATATGAATATTAAATGTGTATAAATAAATGTGTGTGTGTGGGTGGTTTTTTTTTTAATGGATTAACAACAAAAATTACAATAACAATGAGGTTTGTAGTTGTTGATGTTGTTTTTGTTGGTGTGATTCATTTGGCGGCAGCAACAGCAGCAACATTATTAGCACCATGCAAGCAGCAGACCATGCGAGGCGGCATTTGTTGTTGTTTTGTTTTTGTTTTGTTTTTTGTTGTTTTTGTTGTAGTGCGATGGTGTGTAGAGTGGTGTGTAGAGTGGGGTTTGTACAGAACACATCCATTGTTATGCATTCGACGACAATCGGCAGGAACAGCGGCGACGAGTTGTGATTGTTTTTTTGGTTTGTTTAATTTTTTGTTTTGTTGGTACAAAAAACATAATTTAAAATAAAAGAAAAATAATTTATAATTATAAAAACAAATTGTAATGTAAATTGTGTTTGTGCATTTTATAAACAAAAAACACGAAACACATAGTATATACATACAAGTGTGTATATAGTATTTCCTTTCTTATTACAATAACAATAGCATGAACGTTATTTGGTGACAAAGCGCATGAAAAGAAAGCCAGCATATGTACGAGTATGTATGTATGTATGTTTGTGTGTTTGTATGTATGCATGTATGTATGTATGTGGGAGTGTGTGTTAAAGCCAACATCGATTTGTGCGCTTAATGAGCTAACAAAGGCCATTGCAGTAGAAGTAGCGCTCACAGCAACAACAAAGTGCATTGCAACAACAATAACAACAACAACAATTGGTTTGGCGTCAAAGTTCGTACTTGAAATAAGATATGCAGGCCACACTCACACACACACACATACATAAACATATGTGCCTTTCAGCCTTAAGCACGACACGTCTCTTGTATGCTGGTATGTACATACAAGGTACTTTCGTGGGCAGTTCCAGAAGTAACTGATAAAGCTAACCCGCCACTAGGGGTGGTTGAAAGGCTCAACCATGTTCCATCAACTGAATAAATTGTGTTGCACCGATCGTCCCTATGACAGCTATATGATAAAGTCCACCGATTTCAAAACTCATTAATCTCATCTTTGTCAGATGACAGCTACATAAATAAGCTTTATATATCTTTCGAGTACAGGATATTTATATTCCCGCTAAACTCTTAAAAGCATATATAAACAAGTCACCCCTATGTATATGATATATGTAGATATACATCGTCTGATCCGAAGCTCAGTTCGGTTTTGTTATCGTTAAAATCAAAAAGGTTTCCCATACAAAGGTTTTCTAAAATCTGATCATTCCATGATATAGAAGTTCAATTCTTCTCAAACTGTTGAACCTTTTTGGTTGCCTATGCCTTCAACAGACTATCCATATTTGAGCAGGCATCTCAATGGTTGATAAACGTTAAATAAAAGTGAGAGAAAAGAATGTCTGAAAAGAATTACCAACAATGAATAGGATTGCTAGGATTTCAAGATTAAAAAAAAAATGTCTATCCACGTAAAAGGAGTCTCTATGCCGTGTTATATTTTTTGAAGGGTAAATACTTTTGGACCAACACTCGTACTCGCATGTGCATTACATTAACCCAGTTTTATTTTATGCTGCTGCAGCTGCTGCTGTGGCAAGGGCTTGAAGTATTGGCCAACGACAACCACATACAAGTCTGGCACTTGTAACACAAAAGCCATATACACACACACACACACACACACACATTCATAGCCTGATAAGATTTTGGCCGAGTCAAAAGTCGGAACAATACGTTGCTGATTAAAAGAAAATAAAAGAAGGAACGTCATGCGCAAAATCAAATTTTAATTTAATAGAAAATGTTTATCATCACTCACACATAAGAAATAGAAATAATATACTATATACTCTTGTATTCCAAAGAAGAAAAAAAAGGTTGTTCGAGTGCTTAACGTCGTCGTCGTCGATGACGCAGTCGGACCAGATATGGGTTAGTTATGAATTATACTTAAAAATTATACACACAAATGTGAAAACTCGTTTTGCACAAGTTACGGAGACGGCTTTTTGCGTTTCAGTTAATAACAGCATAGAAGAAAACAAACGAGCAAACAAACAATTAACGTTACAACGAAGGGCAACAAAAGTGGAAAACTCTGACACACACACACACATACATACACATATACACACAAGCACTTATTCACTCATGCACTCGTTAACTCGTTTAGTCGTTTACTCATTTAGTCGTCCACTTGTTTACTCGTTCAGTGAGCGGTGGGGCCAACAGTGCGTATGATTTATCCGCCATAGGACTGGGCATGGCAAAAATAAATATTGAACTATAAAAAAAGGGCACAACTGTGCAAACTTCAATGAGCACAGAGCGTCAAGCTGTCCAACAATAAAAAATATTCAGCAATTCTTTCCCTATATACATATACATATAGTACCAACGATATATATAAATATATAATTGTGTGTGGTGAGTGTGCTTCTGTAACTATGCCCAGCAGGCTTCCCCAATGCATATTTTATTCGTATTTGTTATGTGAACACACAAATTTAACTTGACAATGCGACGCCGACTTAATGTTTCCTCACTACTCAGTTCATACTACTGAACATATATGCGGATATAAGTATGTATACATATTTGTGATATTGGCAATAAAACTTTTGCCACTTTTGCTATAAAAGAATAAGTAATGACAAACAAAGAGCACAATAAAGAAAAGCAAGAAAGAAACGAGCAAGACAAAAAAAGAAAAAACACAAAAAACTTTTCAGATATGGGCATGTTCGCACAGCTCAAGTCGTTCTCAATATTTAAAAGAATCACATTCTTATAATTCTCATACATATGTGCATGAAGCGTTAAAAAAACTTATCAGTCTTTCTGAGCTGGTTTGTTGATTTAAAGCATTATCACAATGATCGCATTCTAAATACGTTGTTGCCTTTATACGAGTATATATCAACAAATGCCCCGAGTGTAGATATATCATATCAAGTTATATCGCAGATTTTGTTGTTAATGTATATACAAACATTAATATATAAAAGGGTTTACGTATATACTTGTAAAATCAATAATGTCATTCAACTTCAACAGCGATATTTTAACAATGAGGACTTCGATTTTAAAGAATTTGATATCATAATCCACATTTGAAATGATGTTCTACATATGTATATACATATGTACGTATGAAAATCGATGAGTCAACAATATTATTCCCCGAACAGTTCTGAAACTGAGCTCTGTCCAGCTAAAGTCAATATTGGGGAAGAAAAATAAGTACACATTAACTGCCGATAATCATTTATTGATACATGCATTAAATCCAAAATGTTTGGCAGTCAAAATCGTTGGAAGTCTGCAACAACTACAGAAGGAATAGGGATAGTGGAGCAGCTTCAATATCTAAGGTAATCCAAAATAAGGTAAAAGAACACAACTTACGAGCAGATATGAGAGACATTTGTAAATTTTTTTTGATTTCGCAAATTTTGAATTGTCAATTCAGAATATTCAAAAAATTCAATTCAGAATAAGTATTTTTATAATTAAATAATGCTTGGAATTTGTTGGGTCATTTAGTGAATTACTTTTTTGATTTAATTGTCTCTATTCTGTGGCGGTTATATGCTTTAAATTTACTCAATCAGATAGAACAATATAACATTTTCTAACATTGGTTTTTTATATTTTAGCACACAATTAAATGAAATAATTTCGATTTTAAATTCCATCACAGTCTAGGGTTCCCTAGTTAATTAAGTAAATAACTTTTCTAATTCAATCGCCTCTAATAGAAAACGGAAACTGGGCCTGTTTCCTAATCAGATCGAAGTATTTAAAATGTCCCGAGAATGATTTTTAAATTTAAAAGCATATAGGCTTGATAGTAATTAATAATTTTGTTTTGATTTTAAGTTTTAAGATTTGGTGAATAAATGTTCTGTGTTTTTTCCTTACCGAGAGAGGTGGAAAGTGAAAGAAATCGATAGCAGAACACAAAAGACTGCTTTTAAATAACACGAGTATGTTGGAACAGTTTTAATTATCAACCGATTGTTTTAAGGCTGAGCTTATACATATTGTACTTGTACTTTGAATGAGAAATAAATATTCCATTTCATGTTCGTTTCGATAATATCTTTTCTTCCACTTCAATTTCAATAATTGCACACCAGCGAGCCATTTATAACGAATTATTCATAATTACAATTGCATGTGCCCGCAAAGCTTGAATTAGCAAATGGCAATGGGAAGGTGGTCGGAAAAATATCGACAATTTGGCAGGTCGCCCATGGCAACTGTTGGCAGGTCAACAAAGGCTTGCCACATGCCGGTACACACATGTGTACATATGTAGGTTCATATATATATATATATATATATATATATATATATATATCTAATATCTAATATACATATAGGTATTGTCTGTGGTCCACAAGCAGGAGAGCAAAAATCACCAACAACGACCCCTGCACGTTCAACAATCCAATTCTTTCAAATTGCAACTCATGTATGCATGTACCTGTATCTGTAGAGCAAGGCTTTCCACGAAAAAATATTTTAGCATAATTTATCAATAATTTCAAGGATGTCTTGTTTACGTGCCTGCTGCTGAGACAAATTGTTGTGCGACAGGCACCAGCGTAAAAAAATACAGAATTACAGCAGAGAAATTATTCAAATAGGCATGTACGCTTACAAAAATATTAAATGAGTTCTTGATTCTAGATTTTTATTATCGTGAAAAAAACCTGCAATGTTGCTGCATGAAAAAAGTATAATCGAGCATTAGACTGAAAATTTTAAGACTGCCCCAAGCAAATGTGGAAAACAGAATGAATGCTCTTTTGTTAAATTAGATTATCCCTAAATATTGGTAAACAACGATGTTTTTGAAGTTTTAAGGCTGTTTGAGTTTGAGTTCATGGGAATTTTAACTATAACTTATATACAATAATCATGAAGGATTTGAGTTTAACTAAATCTGTTTTGATTGTATTATCAATTCTATTACTTTCTGTACTCTTTATTTAACCATCCAATGTAATAATGCATTGGTGGAGAAAAGGACAAGATTTCTCTCGATAACAGTTTAGATACATTTCAAAATGTGAGATTAATTATTTTATTATTATTATGATTATTTCCCCCCATATTTTTTCAACAAATGCCATGGAAATTTGTGTTTTGTTGCTTATTGTTTCTATTTGTTTCCCCAACCCAAAAAGAAGAAAAATACGTTTTTTTTCGCGATCTAAATTTTCAAAAAGCTTTTCTTTTTTAAAATTTAAACATGTAATCTGATAAATAATTATTTAAAAAAAATTATATTCTGAAAAAAAAAATTTTATGGAAGAAAATTCGAAAATTTTGTCGTTTCTATTATTTTTCCATTACTGTCTTTGTTTACTTAAAATTCCTACAATTTTGGCAATAAGAAGTTTCGCTTTTATTTCTTTAGACTTTCATTTTTCCAAGTGTATATAAGTGTGTGAGCGTGCTGTTGTTATTGTTGCTGTTGTAGTAAGTGTCGACGCTATTGCTGTTGTTGTTGTTGTTTTTGGGCTGGTTGGCGAAAAACAGCAAATCACATAAAGGAAATGTCACGCTATGCCCGTCCGCGGGCCAACAGGCATGCGACTAAACGTCACTGAGCCGCGCCGTGCCGGTGTTAGGACAAGAAGGACGAGAATGACGACGACGATGTATGTGGCTCGGATGTGGGCCAATGGGGAGGCGTGCAGTTTGTTCCAATGTTACGTGTTTTCAATCGATTTGAGAGTTACATAAAAAGAGCAGAGCACCAAACCGAACCCAACCTGGGGCGAACAAATAAATATCCGCACACACACATAAACACACACTACATACAACTTGAAAAACTAACGCGCCAAAAGCAATTTGCCAATTTGCGACGAACCCACCGAAGACTAACCGAGTGATGTGTGTTGTGCGAATAAACTGACCTACGCATAAAATATTTAGGTACATACGTACATATGTAAGTAAGAATGCGCGAAAGTTTAACAAAATGATGATAGATAGAGAGCATTGGACGGGTTCCAGATGGGGCAGCAGCTCAGCTATGGAGGCTTCGGCAAGCAGTAGGTCGGTTGCTTTGTCGGTCAGTCAGTGTGCCAATTTGAAAGGTCAGGCGTCGACAGGTTACAAGCAGCGAAAGAGAGAGCAAACAAATAGAAAGACACCCACCACCCAACCACCTTCCGCTTAATGGAGCCACAAAGGCAATAAAATTCACAAACAAAGGCAAAGGCCAACAAAATCAGCAGAAATAATGCACTTAAAAAAACCTATTGTACGCCTTTGTTGCTATTATATACATACATAAGTATGAATTGTGCCTTTATGGAACAAATAATTAAAGACATAATATATTTATGATTCTCAGAAAAAGTTGTTTCGTAAGCAGAATCTTAAGATTGAATCATGAAATTTGTCAAGAATACAATTTTTTTAAGTGTAGGAATATCAGGCAGCAGCAGCAGCCGCAACCAATTTTGTGGCGAAGTTGGAGGTCGAAAAAGTGCCAGAGTAGGGCACGGGTATTACGTCAGAAAGGTGCGCGGTGCGGGCTGACAAAATTAACGGCTTCAAACTAAGACACAAATGCAAATGCATTAGTGAGTAGGTGATGAGAGACCGAATGGCAAGCAATATTGTAACAAACAAACAAACAAAAAAATGCATGCAACAATAACACATACATATAGTACATACATACATAAAACAGCGCAAAGACTAACAAAGACTAGTTAGGAGAGCTACTCGAAAATAAGGGCGCGCTAATTAAAAAACAGAAGGCAAAAAAAAAACCAGATAGATGGATGCAAATGATAAATTATGATGCAGCGTGTTGGATGAGGCGAGCGCAAGAGTTATAAAAGAAAATGGCAGTAGTACTTAGTGGTACAGTAGAGTAGAGTAGAATAGAGTAGAGCAGGTCGTAAAACGAGGGGGAATGCAACAGCAGCGATGCAGAAGGGCGTCCGTCAGGCAGGAAGACAGCTAATTTCTTTTTTGGGGCAGGGCAGCGAGCAGAGCGCAACGTCACGTGTATTGCCTGTTTGAGGAGTGTGTGAGCAAGCGCTGCATTTGGTTGTTGTTGTTGTCTTTGTTGTGTCTGCTGCTGACCCATTCCCATTGCCATCCACTGAACGCCGTTCTGACCATTCTGTTTTTTAGGGGCACCTCAGTTGAGAACTTCTTATTGATAACTCACCTGACGCGCGTTTCGTTGTTGTTGTTGTTCTTTGTGTCACCGACAACGAGTTCCAGCGGAAATCAAGAGTGGTGGGTGGGTGGCAGGTTAAATACAGTTAAGGTCGTGTGGAAAACTACTGGCGGTGCGCGTTGTCTTAATTTGTTTTTTATCACAAGAAATACACTTTTTATTGCAGCAGGAGAGAACGCGACTCGTGCGCTATGTAATTTACTAGCGAGCACAACAATAAAAATTCGTCGCTTCTGTGAAAAAATCAATAATACGTCTCAAATTTGCACCAACTAGGCTTTCTATTATTTTCTTTCCTGCTTTTCCTTTGCCACGGACACAGCACAAAACACACGCGCTTACTATGACATCTGTGTCACTTATATTTTTTGTTTCTTAGTTTTTTGTTGCGAATTTGAACACAATTTTTTTTCGTTGTTTTTATTCTACAGTAATTACAACATAATCTTTCCACTTCAAGCTGCAATTTGGATCTGCTGCTTCAATCTTTCATTTATTCATTCTGTGGGCCATCGAAATTATGAAATATCGACTTACAGCCGCACAGATAGTTCACCCCTGGAACCACTTATCGAGCTACGAGTAACAGACATTTAATCAACTAGGGATGCAAAAACATATCGATATCAACATACATATGTGATTTCGGTGTCACAGCCAAATTTCTAAAATCATTTTTGTTTGGATAACGCTTTATTCGTGTTTCACATTAATTCTAATATACAATTGTTCACTGGCGTCCATTTTAAATATTGCAACTTTGAATTTATCACAAACAAAATGGAACTTGCATTAACGTTACAAATATATGAATCTACATTTGTATGTCACATGAAAATAAATCCACTAGGCCGAATTATTTTCTACATACAAATGGTTACACCATGGCTCTATCAACAACCAATTCCTAAGCTTTGGGCAATAGGGATTGCAGAGAAATAAATATTCATGTTTGATATTGGGGCCTTTACGAATAGGTTTTAGTGGGCTTTTACCAACACTGACTGTGTTATGTATCCCGAGACAAAATCGCGGAAACAAATTGTGCCATCTCTATTCGTTAACACGCACGTGCGGTTGGGACGCTATAAACACGAAAAGGCCCTGTATTCAAACAAATGTGATTAAAATTAAGCCCGCTCCATAAAAGCAAGTATAAATAAAAGCCCCCGTCCAGCAAACTAAATTTAACACAAGCCATTTGTAGATTTTTGGCAGCAAAATGCCGCGGAGAAATGAAACGCGTTTAAGGTTGATCAAGAAACAGAGACAGCCGCCGGCCAAAAAATTCAAACCTGAAACTTCATTCTCTGGCTCCGAGGAAGAGAGCGACTTAAGTCCCTACTCATTCAGGACTTCAGATGAGGAGGATGGCGACAGCGACACAAAGAAAATTCGGAAAGCTGTCAGTGAAACACCGGTCGTTGTGCCGCATTTTACATGCCCGGTCTTGAACAAAGGTCTTGGCGCCAGTAAGCAACTGGTGGCATATCCTTCATGCTCTCTTAGTGAGCCGACGGCATTGTTTGTAACAAACCGCACTACTCCCATTATGGATCCGTGCCTAACACGATGCGACGCAGTCGAGAACTGGACGGCCCGCTCTGAATGGTTAAGACATGAATATCTGAAGGAAACTGAAAAAATGAAGCAGCGCGAGAAGAAGCATAAGCATAATATCTATAATCATAATCTTTATCGCTTTGCCGAGCACGTGGCCCTACAGGAGTATCCGTACTTTCGCGATAGCTATGACTATCACTACACTGGCGGCAGTCTTAGCCTTATGCAGTTTGGTGATATTAAAACCTCGATGAAGCTGGCCCTGCATGTTAGCGGGCCGAAGCTGCAAGATTTGCATTTTTCACAATTCGACGGGACAACAGATGCAGCTGAGCAGTGGCGGCTAGAACCCTTTTATAGCCAGGAAATAGATTCTGTGTCCGATGAAATATTTGAGATTCTACCGATAGAAAGCTTTCGAGCTAACCATGGCAACATGTTCCTTGCCCGAAGTCTTACTGAAATTTGTATTTATGAGCTGAAACGATGTGCATCCAGGGGAACAACAGAATACGAGCTCAACCTTCAAGGCAAATACAGCAGTCATAATGGACCATTTATTAGTGCCGCGCAAGGGATCAGTGATGTAAATACTTTGGCCATTGCCTGCCAGGATCGCACTGTACGCTTTGTGGATCTTGTAACGAGCTCGGATATAGCCAAGCATGATGTGTGCATGGTAAACGGACTAAAGCAGACCGCAAATAATTGGGCACAGCTCCTTCCTTGCTTATCTGAGAAGAGCAGCTTTTACTATGCCTGCCAGCCGGTACTCCTCACCATCGATATGCGCTGTGCCAGCGATAACAACAATCCCTGCTTTGCGAGCAGTGCTTACTCGAATATGTGCGAGACTTTTTCCTGTCTAGCTCGCAGTGCAAATCCCAATCTTTTGTATGTAGGTAGCAACCACAAGCTGCACTGCTTGGATATGCGGTGCCTAGGCAAAAAACTGACGGATCGTTCGGTCATCACCTGGACACATCAGATGAGATATCCACCCACCTTTATGGACGCTTTCATGCACGACGGAAGTGAGTACGTTGCCTTGTGTAGTCCACTGCCCTCAGATCAGCGTATTTGTGAACTGACCGGTGCTTTGGCTAATTCCTTTACCGAGATGTCTTCACCAACGTTCCCATACGCGCCAGTTACCATGGAGGAGGCACTTCGAGAATCACGCGTTCGTGGTTTTGTGGATGTGTATGCCGATCTAGGGGAGCGCATTAAAACTCATATCACTGGCCTTAAATTTCACAGCCTGGATAATCCAGGCGACAATTCTTTTGCACAACTATTGACCAGCAATTCAATGGGAGATGTATATTGCCAACGGCTGACAGTACGTAAGGAAGAGGATGCAGTGCAGGAGACACGTATTGGTCCTCACACAGACGAAGCGTTGCGTGTCTATGGCAGAATGGTGAGGAAAAAGGTGACCAGGACATTAAAATGCACCGCCGTTGATGACATTAAGGTAATGCGTGAAATAATGGGATCAGGTATTGCACCAAAATCAGAAGAAGAATTAGAAATCGAAGACGTAACAATAGACTATGGATTTGAACCGCCAAATGATGAGAGCGACGGTTCGCAAAATGAAAAACCTGAGACTAGTCAGAAAAAAAAGAAAGAACCAAAACCAGAAGACAAAACTGACATTAAAAAGAAAATTAAGGCCCTAAATAGGGGTTCGTGGCAAAAATCGGCATACAAGCTCTGCAATTACAATGACTTCTTAAGTAAACGACTTTTAAGTATTTGGGAAATTGACGAAAAGTACGACCTTACGCCAGACGTTGATATCAAGGAGCTGGATTCGAAACTAATGGAAGGAATACATGACAACTATGATCACACAGAAACATGGCTCAAGAAACTGCCCAAAGCTGAAGAGATGCCAGCACTTATAAATGAGTCAAAATCACCTTTCGTAGAGGGAACTGATTTGCCAAAGTACGACGATGCCATAAATGCTGATTACGAAGTAATAGACTCTTTGACAAATGAAGCCGATTTGCATATGAAAGTTGAGTGCGAGGAATCGTACAACGAAACGCTCGCTCAACGTTTTAGTATTCAGGCACATTCGACGTTACAGCCGGATCAATTTACGGCTGTAGAATTTTACTATGAGCCCTCTACATCACAGTCCAGGCCGACCAAACGGGCCAAAACCAAATCGAGTTATCAAAAGGGTTTCTAACCCGACACAATATATATTTTAATGATACATTCAATAATTTTCAAAATAAACTCAGGTATAATATAGTACATATTCATTTTATTGCCTTTGCGCTGGACGACAAATATTTCCAAATGTGGGGTGAGAAAACGAAAAGGAAACGGGATGAAATGGAAAATTCATGATTACCAAAATGAAAAGCTATTTTTCAAATATTTTTTAATAACATAGAAATGTGTAGTTGTTAGTTTAATCATATCTGAAAAGTTGAATGAAAATATCTTGAAAGGACAGCCTTAACGAGAAGATAAATATCTTCCAGGTCGATCCAAGCGAAGTAAATCCTTAACATTATTTATGCCCCAAATAAATGAAAGATCAGCATTGAAAAAAAAAATGGCTTTACCTTACAAAGAATAGGAAAAGACCAACAGGCCTGTAAGGAATCAGGAAATATAATATTATAGGTCTTCAAATAATGGCAGCGCTGGAAACTTGAATTACCTGAATTCATATTTTCCATCACAAGTTTTAAACAAATTACTGAGATAATTTATATGAAACCTCCATCTGTAAATGACAGAACTTAAAATTTAAAGCGAGCTAAATAGTTGCCTACTATCAAATCCATATACCCTACACCGTGTCCTACAACAAAACTGTATTCCACGGACTCGAAATAATACCAAAATATACCAATAATAGTATTTCCCTACAAAGTCTTTTGTTTTTAGAAAGTACAACCCACGAGTGGTAAAAATTAGACAATGACAGTTATATTATTTAGATCCATATGTAAACTATGCATACAATTTATGTTTATTAAATTTTTTTACACAATCCAGTATAACTCATAAAGTCCGCTCTCAAATCGAATTCGCACAATCACAACAGATGTGCAGAAAAATTGAGGATTCCAATTTACTTTCAATTTCAAAACACAAGAATTCCTGTCTCATTCAGAGTAAATTTCGTACTCGAAATAGGATCAAATTTTTATCGGGATTTAGTATGTTAGTGTAATCAAGTGTTTTTCAAAGATTTTGTATATGCAGTCTTAAGCTCAATTCAAGAAGAAATTTAGCATTTTTGCATTTAGCAAATATGAAATTCCTATCTAAAGACTAAACTTAAAATACATCTGCCCGTAATAATTACCAGACGATCTAACTAACTACAAGTATGTATACGCGGTGCATAACATTTTAAAAATGTTGGGGGGAAAACATCATCTACATTCTGGAGCTTAAATGAGATCTTATCGGTATATACATGTTTATGAGCAACTCTGAAATGTTCAGCTACTTCGTATTTTAAAATGAAATATAATTATGTGCCACTAATATTGTTCTTGCCCAAGTACTATTTTGAAGATGTATGCAAATTTTTTTACATATATACTTGCCATTTTGATTGGCCAGCTCGTCGATTGGACGCTGCTTGGGACTTCCCCACATCACCATCCAGATCCGGTTCGTAAGCAGGATTTATGATGCCCTCAATGGGCTCCACAACGAATTTGGAGTTTTTACGTTTGAGTGCATAACCCTTTGATCGCATCTCTGGCATAGTTTTTAGATCCTGCAACATAATTTGTGTTCCTAAATACATGTACTTATACTTATTAAAGACCGACTTAATTTCTCGCGTAATTCGAATAACAAGCTATGTTCGTCTCGATTCGCAACTGATGCAACTGATGAGCAACAAATTCAATTGAATTAAGCTCGTGTAATTGATTTGATTTAGCTGCGCAATCGAAATCTATGTTAGAATGGTCAGCGTTCAGTGGGGCGTAAAATTACCCAAGGGTGACTCTTTGTTTTCGTGGGCGTGCCGCTTAAACTCGTACAAATACACATGCCTATTTAACTATATGCGTATGTAGTTTAAAAATCAACACACACGATTTATCTGTTAAAGCAACCAGTTGTTTGTGTTCGGAAGTGTGCGTCTGATTTTGCATGAACACTTTTCTTTGAGACTGTAAAGACATAACTCTGAATGATGTCTGCTTTTTGGTAAAATTTAATATCTTCCTAAAACGTAAATATACGTACTTTAACGATCCAAACAATAAAACAATTAAGAACCAAGGACAAAGGCCGGTATCATTAGTATTATCAAATGATAATTCGATATAGTTTACTTAGCTCCGCCCAGGGGAAAACCGCGCATGCGCTTGTGGGTGGAGTCAGAAAATGTTTAGCAACAAAATTTGTTGCCAACAGCATCCTTTTGTGTCCTTGCCAAGTCGCACATCAGTTAACATTGGACAGACGCGGGAGAAGGTTCTGTTTACTCTGTTCACTTTTGAGTGTTTCACTTTTTGGTTAAGTTTTTAGAAAACACACAATATATTATTTTAAAATTGATTTAAAGAGCTGCCATACCTAAAGCCTAAACTAATAAAAGTAAGTGGTGAATAAGAAATAATATATGAGCAGCATATAAAATTCGGATATAAGTAGATAACATATTTTTAAAAAAATTGATCTACTACCTCATTGTTAATTGTCATGTGCATTTTTAATAAGAATTATAAAGTCAAATGTGAAAATAAACATCGTTTGCGGATGTTTAGTTAAATCTATAATTCTAAATCTCTTTATTAAGGACGCACACGAGATCTGATTTGGCAGTGTATTAAAGGCAAGTTTAAACTTAATAGCTTAGACTGATTTCCCTCACTTTGGGGACAAATTTTACAAAATCTCCTTTCAGTTATTGACTAACACACTATTTGAATACACAGATGCCCTGTTAGTTAGCTTATGAAGTGCATTAATGTCGAGCTTATGCTTAATCGGGTGAAAAATATATACTTTCCTCACTTTTTGGTTGAGATATTCCACCAAAGCTCACCCCTGTAATTAACTAACACTCAATAAAACTGCACTGCTCTTATGCAGCGGGGTAAACTTTTACAAAGTTTCAGTTCTTGCAAAAAATAGAACTTGTATTCTAACTTTGCAATGATTTTTAACAAAATCTACTACTTAATTATATGTATTTAAAATAGCTAAAAAATATATTTGTAGGGTTAGGTATCAAAAAATGCTAGTTTAGTATTGGAAAAAGATAGACATTATTATAAAATTGGTAGATAACAATTGATTCGTCATTGATATAAAAAACAAAACTCTCCTACTCCCCAAGACATTCCTTTTCATTTATGTATTGGTGTTCCAATAGGTTTCATATATTCATACATATTTACATCTTTGTTGAAATTAATTCGATTCGGTAGGGGAACTTTGCGTGTTCTGAGAATGAAATGTAGGGAAAGCAGTCATGATAGCTGCATATATGAGTGATATAGTGAACTGACATGGTTAAAAAGAAGCCTCGAGGCATCGTTTCATCGTCATAGCTCTAAAACTCTGTTTGAAATACTTAGTAACATGGATTCGTTTCGTTATTCCTTCCTTCCTCCTATTTAGTTTAGCCTTTCTATTAAAAGTTTTCACCGTTAGGATAGAGAGTAATTTATGATCAATATAAATAAATACAAATTTTAATTTTAACTGACCTGAGACATATGCCGCAACTTACAGCCCTGGCTGGAAAGTGTTGAATCACTGGAATTGAACATCCAAAAGCTATGTTAATACCCTCGCAATACGCCTTTGAAGACTTTAGAACTGGTAGGAAAATACCTAAGCTTATTAATTTCATTTAATTCGTTCGTATTTATTTGAAATTGTAATTTTTGCGCCCAATTGTTGTTTTGGCTGTTCCGCACCTGAGCAGTGCGGGCAGCTTGATTACGTGGACAAGTGTTAGCTGTTGTGTACGCACGAGCCCTCATCTATGGCTGTGTGTGTGTGCGCGTGTACTTGTGTGAGTGCCTGTTGCTGCTCCAAGAGCTCGGCACACTCTTTAGTTAATGCCGTCGCGCCGATATTTTGAACAGTTGCTTTGCGCACTTCGATCGTGGCAGTTGGTTGTTGGCTCGTTATCGTTGCTCGCGTCGTTTGTATCGTACAAAGAAATTAATAATACACAACACAAAAAAGGTACAAATATTTTCACTTGGGAACGAGCTGTGGTGGTGGCTCTTACGTGTTTACTTTAGCGTACATTTAAAATTGAAATCATCGCACCTGAAATGTGTGTGTTTCTTGGAACTCTGTGGTGTGTACTTTGATTCTGAGTGGTGTCGTGTCTTTTCATTCATGCTCCCGCTTTGCTTCACACATTCATCGGCGAATGCGCAAGTAAAACAAAAGCGAAGAGAGCGCAACTGCGGCGATCACATACATACTTGTACACGTACAAGTATAGTATTTCTCCTAATCAAAAGGAAAAGAAAACTGAACGAACGAACTGGGAGCTGCTGGGCAAGGCCAGGCGGCACGAAACTTGTCTATCTGCCACCGCTCCGCTCCGCACTTTCCCAGTTGACGTTGCCGCCCCACTTTTCGACCGGCCGCTTCAACAATATGGAAGATTGCTTCGGTCCGTCAACGTTTTGCTGCGATGTCGTGTTTAGCTAATCAACAAATGGGCTGCTGTTGCTCTGCCTATTGTTTTTAGTTTTATTTTTTGTTGTTGTTGTTGTCTTCAAATTCAAAAGTAGGCATCCGGTTGCTGGAAAATTCATGACGTGTACGAATAGTAACGCCACTTTGCTGATAAGTTTTCATTTCATTAGCATCAAGCAGCCACTAATTGGGGTTGCACGAAAAATCCTTCACACAAGCACTACAAAATACATACATATGTTGGAGAAAAACAGTTGTAATTCCCACTGTCCCAACACTGTTGACCAGGCTAACTAACTGTATACCCGCATTGCGCATACGCAGCATACTGAAAGGTTCAATGAACCCACCAACACACGTTGGCTAAAAAATGAAGTCAGTTCAAGTAAAAAAAGTATTACAAAGAAGAAAAAATCGAAGAAACATACAACACTCTGAAGAAGACGCGACACGATCAAAGTTGTCGGTTATCGACGGCAACTGGTTTTCTCAATGTTGGTTCCAAAATAAAATGAGAGAAGCAGGCGAAGAAGCACCAGCAATCCCAGTAAAAAGCAAATTGCGGCTTCATAGCCAACAGGGCGTTAACAGTAAATGCAATGCCCAGGGCCAGAAGACATTGTTAATGTTCAGTTCACGTAGCCAATTGATTCGTTACCAATTGTAAGCTTTTGGGCCAATAACGAAGCGTCAACGTCGCCTTTGTCATCATTGCCTTTCATTAGTGAAAGTTTGCATTTTATTGTTTGAAGTATTAGTTTAATTCGTTATAGGCAGACAAGATGTATTTAATTTATTGCAAATCATTTTGTGGTTACATATATGTATTGTTTTCGATACCGCAATGCCTTTCATCGCATCTCATCTTTGGCCAAATCGAGAGATAATTGTCTGCCTTCGATAATGGACCTTCGCTTTCTAGCACTTTATTTGGCAGCTGGTGGTGGCTGCAATAAATCTTCGTGCCGGCCATGATTTCGACTTTCATTCGGTTAAGGTAAGGGCAGCCTACACCTACGAGCTGCCAAAATTTGGCCAAAAACTGTCCCAAAATGTGGTCAAGCGGTTTCGTGAAATAATTAACGGTTTTCGAAATTCACGATTAACTTGTTGTAGTGGTTTGGTGTTGTTGTTGTTGTTGTTGTTGATGGCATCATGGCGACCAATGTAAATGCCTCGCGTTTCAACAAACATTACGCATGAGCTCAATTGCACACACACTCATACACGCACACACACACACACATACAACACCACCTCACCAGCACGACAGCTCGAGGCGTCCAAGCTGCAATAATTCGCAATTTCGGCTTTGGCTGCATTACATAATCACCTGCAGATGTACGGCAACGGAAAACACATAAATGAATTGCAGATTTGCATAATGACTAATTTTTCACTTCACTCTTTATTTGCTCTGCTGCTGTCCATTACAACAACTCTACACTGTTGAACAAGGCTATAGGTGATGGGTTGTTGATAATTGAATTGAAATATGAAATCGTGTCATCGCTTATGCAAGAAAATGGATCAACGAAAAAACCATACATATGTGCTTCACAATTCCCCCTTCTACTATATAGTTTAAAAACGCTTGAAAGTGAAACTAAGATGTAGTTCGTTTTTGGTTAAAATTAACATTTATGACTGATTGCATATATGTTCCTTATATGTTTGTGAATCCTTGACTGACTAGGCTGGGTAACAAACTGTGCGGCCCTTTTTTTCATGCTTTCTAATTCGCTCAAATGAATCCCTATTTTTTCCTTTAATATGCGCCATAATTTTGATAGGCAAGAGAATTCGGCTAATGTTTTCACTGTAGCCGCCGTTATTACACTCGAACATATATACTTTTTTCCAATTGTACGTTAGATACTCCGCTTAATATGTGTAATATTCATAAGCATGCTTACGAAGGCGAATAAGTTATATACTCTGCCTAATATTTGTAATATTCATATGCACGTTTACGAAGGCGAATTATTTAAAAGTCAATACACGTCTATTGAAGGGATGTGTGTGTGTGTGTGTGCTATATCTGCTATGTGCTGTGCATTTAAATAATTACACACTTAACCGGATTATTTAAATCTGTGACATTTCAACACCTCAATCCACTGCTCTTCTATATCGCTATATGTTTTAAAATTACGAATATGTGCATTAAAACAGTTTCTGCTTCTCTTCTAGCGTTCATTTCTTAAGGTCAGATGAATGTAGATATGCATTAATATTATAACTGACTAGAGTAGTTGTTTTTAAAATCTACATGTATTTGAGAATATTTTGTTATGCTAATCGTGTGTCCTTTCCTCATTTTCACCGAGCTAGTAAATATTGATACTTTGTCTAGGGATAAATTCCCCTTCACTAGCGCTATTATAAATATAATATTAATAATACAGAACTGTTATTCGGGACTATTTGAATGATTTGATATTTTAGAAAATCACACTCATATTTAAACAAATGTTGTGTTTTTAAATAGTAAAGCTTTAATTTTTGCCTCTTATCGTAGGCACCCCAGAGATATAAATCAAATTAATGCTGTCAGAAATTATTGGCCAGGCTTTTCTCTTCTTCTACCAATGTGGAAGCACTTTATCAGCACGAGCAATGTACAAGTAGAATGTGATTTAGTAGGAGTTAAGATAAGATTGGCGAATTCTAACTTGCCTATATATTGTAGCAATTTATAATTGGTATTAAATTAAACTAAAACCTGTTGTCTGGTGCAGAAAACAAGTGCCATTTGTGTTTATTAATTTATTTGGAACTTGTTTCTTGAATTCCAGCCATGATGAAATCAATGCTCATTTTCTCGTGCCTTCTGGTGGCCAGCGTGCGTTCCGAGGATCTCAAAGTGGATGTGATCAGCAAACCAGATGTCTGTGATCAGAAATCGAAGAATGGCGACTCACTAACCATGCATTACACGGGCACTCTGCAGGCCGATGGCAAGAAATTCGATTCCAGGTGAGTGTGCAAACTTATTTTGATTTCAAGAGTTCGATATTAAAGCTGCATAAAATCATGCCCGACACCAATTTACTGGCATACATATATGTGTGTGTATGTTTCTGCCAAACGAGTGCGCGTTGCGCGTTGAAAGGGGGATTACAGATGTGCCGCATAGGCGCCTGGACGTGGACGTCGGCTCATTGTCGTAAATTAGACGCCAACTGATAAGCGATCTCTTTGTTGCACCAACATTTTCCATGCTTTCCAGCCTTTTTTCCATTGTTGCACAATTTTGATTGTTGCGGCCGCCAATGCATTTTCCCCATACTAGTATGTGTCCATATGTTAAGCAGAGAAGTCTTAAAGCTGCACTTCCCTCATTAAAGTGGCTGCCAATGTCAAGGCCTCGCAACCATTTCATTAAAATGTAAACATACACGAGCTCGTATGTGTGGTGTCTTATAACATACACCCCCCAGCCAGTGCCTCAAATTGCTATCAAATGCAATCATTGGAGACAACATGCCACATTGTGTCGGGCTTATCGCCACCACTCGTATGTTCGCAATCAGAGTGAAATATTTCCATACTCTCTGATAAGAGCAGCAAACATTTCTAGTTCGTTCGACCCAGGTTATTTATATATTTTAGCACAGGCTGTCATCTGGTTTTCAGTTTCAAGTGTTTGCTGGTGCGCTGGCGTGGTTATCTAATTTATGCTTTATATTATTTGATTTATGCCTAATATTATAAACAGACCACTGATTACACTCTTACAAACATACAACATACTACTTGAATGTGCAGGCAGACAAATTGAGTCTTTTGAGCAGGAAATCGTTTTATAACGAGGTTTATTCTGTTGACCAGCTTAAAAGCTACAACTTAACCTTTTGCATGTCTACATAGTACACTTGAAAAAAAATTGCATTTGCTATTTCAATTTTTTTTATAAGGCATAACAAATTCTGTGAAGTGTTTTCAAGATTCCCGCACATATTTCAAGATCGAAATCAACATCGTTTAATACTCTTCATTCGCATTCTATATCAGGTCGGTTTCCATTTGCGAATTCGAGCAATTTTGTTGCGCTTGAAAATCTCAAAGTATGTAAAATTGTGAGATAGCTTGTGGAAGACAAAACCATTAGTAGTTTTTCAGAATTAATCGTTTTCCTTTTTTGGTGGAATACCGCACTTGGTTGGTAATCACATGTTTTTGTCGATTTCGAATTCATCATTAGAACAGGCCTGTATTATTCATATTGTTGGTAATCATAATATTTTCAAATATAATATTTTATCCGAAAAGCTTGCCTGAATAGTTAGTTAACATTAAATTAAACAACTAATGCGTTATTTCTCAAAAGAATTCATGCATGTAGGTCTTGGGTGCAAAATTATAAATTCTCTGAAATATTTAAACTACGATTAGATATATATATTTTTTAAAAAAATATGCTTCCTTTTTTAAATGATTATTATGCACTTTTAAAAGATTCAGTTATTTAAAAGTCAGTAGAACAATTAAAAGCTAACTTCTTGAGGATTTACTTCTCGTAAAAAACCAAAAATTAGTTTTAGTTTTAGTTAGTTTTTTCCTCAATAAATTCTTTCCAAGTGCACATACAACGTTTTCCCAAACATACACAAATATGTACGTGTATGCAGATGTCACCTGACAACCGGCACTTTCATGGAAAATCACGTCAAAAGTCAAAGCGACTGGGCCCTTGCCCCTTACCTTTTTGCTTCACCTGTGTCGTCGGCGTTTCTACGTTGGCTCGCAAATTATCTGAAAGTTTGTGTTGAAAGTTTGCAATTGCTGTTTAATTTAGCGTGCTGCCAACAACCATCCACTCACACACCCACACACCTCTTCACTAACTCAATCAGTGCAGGCAGAGCATGCGAAACAGCCGCAAGATATCGTCTGCCACTTGTTGCAGCCACAGTTAACAACGCACATTGGGATAATTCGAAGAAATTTTGAGATAAATTCTACTCTCGAATATGTTACCCCGTTCGCACGCACTTCAAATATAGCTCACGGGAATTTGGTAACAGATTGCTCGTGGGTATCAGCAACTTGAGTTTATTTATAAATTGCTGGCAATCAGAAGTCAACTAGTTATAGAAATGGAATTTGTTCATAATAATCAATCGAACGAGCAGTATTTTTCGAGCTTAATTTAGAGATTGAATATTGAGATTTATATTTTACAATTTAGGAAATAAAGCAACTAGAGAAATCTATTATGTAGGTAGTACGATAGTAGTTTAATAAAAATAAAATTTCTTAAAAAAAGGAGAATATAATAATAAATCATAAATCCGACACTTCTTAGTTTCCACTTGTCTTTTTTTAAGAAAAATCTGAATTTGAGAAAAAAATTTATTTCCGTTCTTTGTGTTGAAAGATTTTGTAATTCACTTTCATTAAAAGATGTTGCAAGTCAAAACAAACAAAGTCGAAAAGAAAGCTTCAAGTCAAAGAAGTCAAGTCATAGAAATAGGTATTGCAACTAAACAAAAGAAATAAGTTAATTAACTCTCTACATTTTCAGCAAACAGCAGACATGGGGGACAGAGATAGATCAGTTTGTTATTTAAATGCAAACTTTTACCACTAATCTGCACATAAATTGATGAAATATTGCGCATTTTTTTGTTTTTTGTATAATTTATGAAATTTACATTTCTACCCTTTGTGCCTGTCTGTCGCCGAATGAAGAATATACTACTTGTGTGCCTTATTCGACCCCATGGTGTGTAGAGTCAAGCCTTATGGGGTTGACAAGCCTGTTTAATGTTTTGCTTTTTAGCTTAAATGCCTGGCCGCACTTAACCCAGTGGAAGCACAGTCAAGTGCCTTAGTTGAACATTCTGTTTTGTTGCATCCAAAGCTTTTGCTTACCTTTTGCCAAAGTTGACGGCAACGGCGACAGCTTCCCCTTTCAGGGAAAATCTTCAGCAATTCGTAGCCGCAAGCAAGCCTCAAAAAAGGATGGAAGTCTGAGAAGACTGAGTGCGCTTAAGTCTTTGAGTCTTTTGCGCTTTTAGGCTATGTGCGTAGCTGCCGGAAATTAGCTGCAACATGCTGTGTGTATGTGGTGGCATGCGCCTGAATGCAGGCTACAGTTTTTCTTATTTTTTATTATTTTGTTGCTACCCATAATTAAACTGCCATTAAAGACAACTGGGTCTTTTACTTGTAGCTGCGCATGAAAAGCCTTTGAAACGAATGCCACTTGCAGTTGACAGGCCTTGATGGCCAGCTAGACAGACAGTCGCTTTTGTAAATGCCATTTACAGTCTGCGATATTTGGATGAACGTGGAGCGTCCTAAGCAAACAGTAGTTGGCAATGAATGGAACATGGAAGGTGCAATGAGCGGAAAGAAATCAATTAAGATATTTCAATACAGAAATTAATTGTAGCGTGCATTTTCGGCCCTTTATTGCATACGTGCTTGATTGGTTATAAAAAGGATTACTGCGCTGGCGTCCCAACTAATTGCATTTGGCTGCTATTTGGGGCACTTCAATTGTCTGAGTGTGTAGGTTGCAATGCTTTTGCGCCATCTTCACAATTAAAATTGAAGGAACGCGTGCCAGCTATTTAGTCGCACATTCCCCCAACTACCCATAAGTTATTCAATAATGAGTGAGAGCCAAGTCCTGTCACGTGGCTCACAGCTTTTATTTTCATTGTTGTGGCCCAACATTCATCTACCTGTCTAAAAGGTAAAAGGATGCTAGCCTGTTCTGTCGTCGCCACTGCCGTCACGTGCGCCCATACTTTGTCACCGCATGTCGTCGTCCTCCTCAGCACATTCATTTCTTTGTTTGTGGCAACAAGTTGAAATGCAGTCGTGCCTGTTGTCCTCGTAGTTTCTCTCAGCAGTATCAGCAGTGTCAGCAGTTGACCCGCAGACCTCCATTTAAAGCATAAATTATGCAGCCACTGTCGCCGCGCTATATTCTAATCAGCCTGACGCGTAACACGAGCGCTTCTCCAGCTTCCTTATGATATATGCTCGCGTTCCTTATGTGCACAGCGTCAACACGATGCCAGCACTCTTCTCAAGGAGGGCAGCCCCTGCCTCATGTCATTGTGTACGAAAAATTAATTTGTTACTTGCTGCATGGAAAATTTGATACTTTCCTCAGTTTGCTTAAAGGTTTTCCTCTCCTTTATTTTTTTTAACAGAAGCTGCTTGGAAGATAACACACAGTATTGTATTGGGAAGGGCATGGAGGCAAATACCTAATTTTTTCAATGCAAGTTCACTTTTAGGATACTACATTTTTAAGAAGTAATTGAGAAATAAAGCAGAGTAATATCAAGCTGTAGTGTAGTGTCTTTTTTGAAGAGTGTAGAATTAGAGTTTTCATTTGAACTTGAAGATCATCGCTTTAATAGAACAAGTAACAATACTAGCTGGTAGTAGTGTCTTCCTAGACCACCACCTCTTCAAGTTGTATGCCTACACGTCAAATGTGAGATCAGATGTTTTAGCGTCAGAAATCTACTCTTTTGATGTCTAAACTTAATAACCAATTGCAATGCAATCCACTCAGTGATAATATATCTATCGATCTTCTTGTGATTCACGCAGCACAGATCTCTGTTGGACACAACTCTACAAGAAAGTTCCCTACACACGACAATTCTTTATGCATCAGATGTTTACACGTCAGATATGTATCCATCCATTTTTGGCTGATTTTTTCTTCAACTGATTTGTTCTTTTGTATTTGATTTTTTTTTAATTTATTATTATTAGGTTCCTCACAAAAGGCATTTTAGATGCTTAACTGTTTAAAGATGAGCCTTTCATTAAAATCTAAATATATAAATATTTAAGCAGTTAATCAGCTTTTCGTGAAGATGTCATTAATTTCTTGAAGCAAATCAAAATTCGTAATTCTTTTTAGAATTGTTGATACCAATATTTATCTGAAACGTGACGTTTACATTTTCTTGAAGTATAATTAAAGCAACAAATACAAA